TTATTTTACCAGGTAAGGCCCACTGAAGCTATGTCTTTTTCAGAAGCGATATGGCCAGAAATAATAGCTCAACGTAGTGGCTTATCGTGTGGAAATGTAAAGCAGTCAAATACTCTGAACGCGTGTTGATTGTAAATGTGTAGGGGAAAAACTGTAGAACCCAGAAAAAAATCCACACGACCACGGGGGAGAACACGCAAACTCCAAATATACAGCCGTTGTCAGGTTCAGGGATCGAATCCACAACCTCCTGCACGTCAGGCGACGTAGTTGAAACATCTCGCTACCGTGGTGCCGTAAATGCTGAGAGAAAGAGGAACGCGTCTCATCAGGAGACACGCGCAACCAGGGATTGTCAGGCCGGCTGGTTCAGCACACATCACGAAAAGCGGCGATGGTCCAGCGGTCGAGGCTCAACGACAATGGCAGCTCGTTAAAGATACAAAAAAAAACCCTCCACAGCAGAGATGGCGCGATGGGTCCACGCGCACCAGCTGGCAGGATTATTGCATCAAGAGGCCGTGAGAAGTGGCGGCCGCTTGGGAACACTTTCATTGAGAAGTGGATCGATCATGGCCGACGACGATGATGATGATGATAATTAAATTGTAGGTTTGCCTGAATCCTGACCATCACATATTTCATGCTAACCCCATCACATTAACCCTAAACCAGAAGCAATATCGAGGTGTACTGTGGGGTGATGCGAACGTCACTCGGCTCGTTGCCGAGTCAGGTTGGAGCCAGTGAGTGAGTGAGTGCGTGACGCAAGCATTCCTCATACCCACATCTTGACTCATCATCATCATCAAGGTATGAGTTCACTCTGTTCACTATGAGACAGGCGGGGCATGCGAAGGTGTGTTCATTACGCACGCTCCGTTCATCCCCGCCACCCCCCTTCCTCAAATCCGGACCTCCACCCCACGATTCTAATATTTGGTGCCGTGAGATGAATTGATTCAAAGAGCGTGCGTTGAACTGGGGCCCGTATGTTGAAGAGAAGGTCCATGCCGATAAACGTCTGGAAGTGCACCAGCGTTGGTCGAGGCAGGCTTGACTCTGCTGATCAGACGCTGGATGTCGAAATCGGTCCAGAGTTTGCTCGTGGTGAATCAATGCTGCTGAGATTATGCACTCCCAGAAGGTCGTGTGGTTGACAGGAAATGTAATAAGAACTTTACAATTTTTTACATGTAGGAAGGAGTTACGTTGTCTGCTTATTCATTTGCTGCGGCTATTATAAGTCTCCACAAGGACGTTAATAATGAATTTGTCCATACAGAGTCGATTAGCTCGCTGACGCGTGTTGTACCGTCTTGCTTGTATTGTTAGGGGACTCGTGTTCTGCCTCGTTCGTCCCACCAGACGCATGATCGAATGTTTACAAATCGCATAGGAATCTCCATAAATTGTACGCACGGGGACAAACTTACCTTGGGGGGGGGTTGGAAACCTGCGGCTTTATATCCGTACAAAATATCCGTGAGTTTTAAATTAAAACGACGCTTTCAATCTATGATAAGAAGAGTACGAGTACATTTACATCGCTCCCGTGATATAAGTTAAGCGGCTTGGAGCGCAGTTTTTTTGCCTAGGGCAAGGGTCGGGAAAACCCGCGGCTCCGGAGTTGAATGCGGTTCTTTGCGGACTGCTTCGTGACCGTTATTCATATTCACCACGCAGTGCATTGCGGCTCTTAAAATATTGATGAGGTTTTTTTTAAGTACAAAATTCGAACAAAACGTCTCTTCTTGTTACACCATTTTGGTTGCCGACCCTTGCCGTAGGGTTAAACAAAAATCTGCGCTCCGTGACGCTTAACTTACATTACGTGAGCGATATAAATGTACTCATACTCTTATTAATTATGCATTTAAAGTGTCACTTTCATTTTAAGCTTACAGATATTTCGTACAGATATAGGTGTTCGACAACATCACTTGTTCAAAGAGTTTGTTGATTCCACACGGGAACCTTTGTCTTTGTTTACAGTGGTGCATAAATGCACCACTGTAAACATGGACAAAGTTCAACACATCCGTCAATAACGCTGCCCTAACCACAGGAGAAACATATATAAGTCAGAGGCAACGCTTTGAGCATGGTCCTTGTTCATGGCAAAGAGACCTCTGTGGGGTGGACATGGCAATGATGGCCCAGGACAGCGATGAGTGAACGAGGAGCACGATTCCGGCAGACCCCACACGACCGGGGAAGTGCTGAGAAGATTAAGAGCGGAGCAAGGATCTGCTCCGCTGTCGCGGGTCGTGGGGAGGCGGGGGGGGGGACGTCTCGCGAGACGGGCGTCCCAGAGACGAGGAGTTTGTGCAGCAAGTGGCGGTGTGTTGTCGCTTCTCGCCTAGCACTCGTGAGTCAACACGATCGCGCCCTCCTCCTCCCCGTGCTGCCTGTCAACCCGTGTCCACTTTCCCCAGCCACACGGATTGCACGGGGGGGGGGGGGATGGGAGTGGGAGCGCGTGTTTACTGTAAAGTCTATCGTGCGTCGTCAAAACGAGTCAACTCGATCACAGACTCGACAACTATTTACACTTTTATTATTACAGGTGTGTGATTGGGCTTTCCCTTAAATGTTGCCACAACCGCGCTATCGGATTTGCGCCACGAGACGAGACATCCGGTTTACATCTCGCGCAGAAAGAGTGACAGAGAACGGCCAACGGAAGCGGATATCAGAGAGCTACCTCTGAGGTCTCTTAGAGTTCCCTCCGGTCCACAGAGTAGTAAGGAGCATTTTCCCACCCGCTACGGCAGTGAGAGCAATCTTAGTCGCATGAAAGTCGACCCGATATATTTCATGTTTGGTGATTCAGCTCAGCCAAATAAGGTGCAGAACCACGTGTATTGTGATGATTTTGGTGCAATGCTTGGAGACCAGACTTTGATGATGATTATTTAACAGACGGGCATGAAGAGTGCTGTGATCATGATGTGCTGCACTTCTCAATACAGTGAGGGAAAAAGTATTTGATCCCCTGCTGATTTTGTACGTTTGCCCACTGACAAAGAAATGATCAGTCTATAATTTTAATGGTAGGTTGATTTGAACAGTGAGAGACAGAATAACAACAAAACAATCCAGAAAAACGCATGTGAAAAATGTTATAAATTGATTTGCATTTTAATGAGGAAAATAAGTATTTGACCCCCTCTCAATCAGAAAGATTTCTGGCTCCCAGGTGTCTTTTATACAGGTAACGAGCTGAGATTAGGAGCACACTCTTAAAGGGACTGCTCCTAATCTCAGCTTGTTACCTGTATAAAAGACACCTGTCCACAGAAGCGATCAATCAATCAGATTTCAAACTCTCCACCATGGCCAAGACCAAAGAGCTCTCCAAGGATGTTAGCGACAAGATTGTAGACCTACACAAGGCTGGAATGGGCTACAAGACCATTGCCAAGCAGCTTGGTGAGAAGGTGACAACAGTTGGTGCGATTATTCGCAAATGGAAAAAACACAAAAGAACTGTCAATCTCCCTCAGCCTGGGGCTCCATGCAAGATCTCACCTCGTGGAGTTGCAATGATCATGAGAAGGGTGAAGAATCAGCCCAGAACTACACGGGAGGATCTTGTCAATGATCTCAAGGCAGCTGGGACCATAGTCACCAAGAAAACAATTGGTGACACACTACGCCGTGAAGGACTGAAATCCTGCAGCGCCCGCAAGGTCCCCCTGCTCAAGAAAGCACATATACATGCCCGTCTGAAGTTTGCCAATGAACATCTGAATGATTCAGGGGACAACTGGGTGAAAGTATTGTGGTCAGATGAGACCAAAATGGAGCTCTTTGGCATCAACTCAACTCGCCGTGTTTGGAGGAGGAGGAGGAATGCTGCCTATGACCCCAAGAACACCATCCCCACCGTCAAACATGGAGGTGGAAATATTATGCTTTGGGGGTGTTTTTCTGCTAAGGGGACAGGACAACTTCACCGCATCAAAGGGACGATGGACGGGGACATGTACCGTCAAATCTTGGGTGAGAACCTCCTTCCCTCAGCCAGGGCATTGAAAATGGGTCGTGGATGGGTATTCCTGCATGACAATGATCCAAAACACACGGCCAAGGCAACAAAGAAATGGCTCAAGAAAAAGCACATTAAGGTCCTGGAGTGGCCTAGCCAGTCTCCAGACCTTAATCCCATAGAAAATCTGTGGAGGGAGCTGAAGGTTCGAGTTGCCAAACGTCACCCTCGAAACCTTAATGACTTGGAGAAGATCTGCAAAGAGGAATGGGACAAAATACCTCCTGAGATGTGTGCAAACCTGGTGGCCAACAACAAGAAACGTCTGACCTCTGTGATTGCCAACAAGGGTTTTGCCACCAAGTACTAAGTCATGTTTTGCAGAGGGGTCAAATACTTATTTCCCTCATTAAAATGCAAATCAATTTATAAAATTTTTGACATGCTTTTTTCGGGATTTTTTGTTGTTATTCTGTCTGTTCAAACAAACCTACCATTAAAATTATAGACTGATCATTTCTTTGTCAGTGGGCAAACGTACAAAATCAGCAGGGGATCAAATACTTTTTTTCCCTCACTGTATGTTAATACGTGTCCGGGAAACACGGGCAAGAATGCGTCGCAATAGCGTCTATATCCTTTATAACACTGAAATACTCCAAACTCCCCCACCCCCGCTCCCCCTTATACTAGTCTGACCTTCAGTGTGCGGTGGTGGTGGTCGTGGTGGTGGATGCACAGCGAGGGGCTCTCTGCGCGCTGCGCGCTGCCTTCGCGACTCTCCAGCAGCAACAGCAGCAACAGCAGCCCGTGAGCCGCGAGGGGCCGCCAATCTCGAGATGTCATCTCCGCAGGTACCCCCCCCACCCCCGCCGTGGCTTTCCGCGCAGGGGGGGGGGGGGAGGGGGGGGGGGTTCGTTCCGGCGGGATCAGGATCGAGCACGAAAATACGCACGAATTACGCAGTCTCTCGCGGCGTACCCTCGGCCCTATAAAGTAACGGGCCGAAACTTTGTTTACGTCTCCAGTTTGGAAGTCGCTCTCGCAGCCGCGGCTTTCGCTCGGGGTTCGGTATTTTCGAGCGCGCCAAGTCGCAGCCGGAGCAGATCCGCGAGCGCGCGGGCAACATTCGCGCCGCCGCCTCTCGCGAAGCGAGACGCCACGTGCGTGACGGCCGTGTAAGGGTCACAGCAGGAAACCTCCCTCGCTCGCTCGCTCCCTCCCTCGCTCGCTCCCTCGCTCATCTCGCTCATCAGCCAAGGGCCATGGAGGAAATCTCGGAGGCGGCTCCGTCTGCCAACGGACACGGGAACGGCCGCTTCCAAGTGCAACCCAGGGAAGACGGCGGCGGCGGCGGCGCCCACGAAAACTACGCGTACACGGACACGCACACCAACACCTACTACTCGCGCACGTTCGGCCACAACACCCTGGACCCGGTGCCCAACTACAACTACTACTGCCGCACGGGCACCATCCACGGCAAGAAGGCGGCGCGAGCAACCATCTACGACCTGCACGCCACCTACGTGAAGGTAGGCACACGCGGTCTCACCCACTCCACCCCCACCCACACCCGGTGTGGTGGTGCCTTCATCCAGCAGTGGACACGCCAGGAGTCGTATGTTATGCGTTCACAATGCTGATAAACCAAACGCGAGAAACGAGAATCCTGCCGTTGTTTAGTTTTGTTGATTCCCTGCGCGTGTGTTCTTAACACGGAGCGTGCGATATTTCGGGTCTTGTGTTAAAGTGCACAGTCGAAAAAACAACGCTCGTGACCTCCAGCGCTCTGTTACTCCGCTGCTGGAGTTGTTTGACCATACTTCACCACGTTGGTCAATGCGAGCCGTTGAAGGGCGTGGTGGGGGTGGGGGGCACAACCGGTTCAGATATCACTCGACACCGATGTTGGCCGGGAATCCAACTCACACTTTAAACTGGGGTGGCTGCATACACAGCGCTACACCACGCAGCCTCATGCGTGCGCGTGCAATGCGTGGCAAGGCCTTCCCCCAGGTCGATTCGACCAGGGAGACAAACGCGGCCGGGCGTGGTTGTGGCCACCCAATCCCTCGTGGGCAGTGCCGGCCTTCATAGGTGCTCGCGAATAGCCCCAACATTCTGGCTAAGGCGATGCGGGGGGGGCGGGATCTTTTATCTTCGGTGTGTGCGCTGTGCAGGATCCATCGGCAGTGCCGTCAACCCTGCATCATGTGTACGGGGATGCCGTGCTGGAAGACCTTCCCGACGGGGAGCCGGTGGAGGAAGTCAAACCGCCGGAACCCGTTCTCTTTGGCTGGTTCCGTGGCGTTATGGTGAGTGGCGGCGGCGGTGGCGGTGGTGGTGATGCTGCATGAATGTGTGTTGAACTTCTTTCGCGCCGTACGTAGCCAACCGCGCTCATTGGATGGCTGGGGAAAGGACAACGAGCTAAACACAAAAGAGCAGTTCTAGAAATAAATTCGTTTTCAATGCCCGATTCGAATTGGCATATTTGCGGTTATGGGGGGAGGGGGGCAGTGTTCCCTTTAGGGAGCAAGCAATTTCGGGGCTGCGCCTTTACCGGCCGCAATCTTCAGCATTGGTCAACTTTGCCCTGCCTCGCTTAACAACTTTATCATGGTAAGGAAAACTATCTGTCCTTTCTGTTTTCACGAGATGAAATAAATGCGCGTTCACAGTAATTTCGCGAATTGTTTCGCAGGGGGGCTGCGAAGTGTCTCGCAAATGCGAAATAGCAGAAAAGTACACAATTATAAATGGCACAGATCGCGACGGATTTGCGAGCTTCGTTAGGCTTGACTGGATATCTCAAGTACTGGGTTCTCAGTGGCGCCAAATTCACGGAGTGCCCACCGTGACCTCTCTGCCGTCATACGACAGCCTTAGCGCAGGTTCCTTCCTTCCAGCAGTGAACTCTGAGCAGCGGACAACGCGGCCGACGATGCCCCCGTAACACTTTTGGCAACGTTTTCTGTCTCGGTGCAGATGCGGGTGATAGTGAACATCTGGGGAGTCCTTATGTACCTGCGCCTGCCCTGGATCACCGCTCAGGCTGGCATTGGTAAGGAGTCATCGCCTCCTGGCAACGGCGGCGGCGGTGGTGGTGGTGGTGGTGGGGAGTTCGCTCTTATAAACTGTTAACTTTTTTTGTTATATTTTACCAGGTTAAGGCCCACTGAGCTATATATAGAGCTCTTTTTTCAGAAGCCACCTGGCCACGGATGTAAGGTCAACGCAGTGGCTTATCTGGTGGAAATGTATTCGCAGCCAAATACTCTAAAACGCACGTTTCTAAATGTGGAGGGAAAAACCGGTGGACCCGGAGAAGAAAAAAAAATCCACAAATATACATGCGTCAGGGTTGGGATCGAACCTATGGCCTCCTGTATAAGGAGGCAAAGTAGTCGAAATCTTGACACCGTGGCGCTCTTGCCGCAGGTGACACCGAATCACGGCAATGCCGTGTCTAAAGATCGTTGGGTTTTTTTTTCTTACGAACGTTTACAAAACCTTCTGGCGTCATGTGGTCGAGCACCAATTGGGTCGAGGCTCAAAAGAAAGCCGTCCCTTGGTGTGGACCAATCAGTTTCAAGGACATTGAATATATTGTCATAGTGTGTTTTTTTGTTTGCATTTTGACTGCAGGTATTGTGGTTAATGCAGACATGAATCCTCGTAAAAAGGTTTTAGTTTTGTTGCCAGAAAAAAGGGGAAAACCCCTATTATTACATTTTAGTACTGGCAAAGGAGGTCTAATGATGATCTTTTGTTGTTGCTGTTATCAAATGCATGAAAACATAGCCATTAACGCTATTGCGGGTGGCCGCTACACGGGCGAATCTCCGTGCAGTCGTTTTATCTGCGCGCTATCTTACTTGTTGCATTCTCCACAAATTCGCTAACGAATGCCCATGTTGAGTCGTGTATGACGGCACAAAGTTGCGTCGGAAACCGGACCCCATAGCGTAATGGTCCTTGCCTCGAAGTCCCGCAGCTCACCGGCATAGATCCGAGCAAAACCCAACCCTGCTGATGAGACGCTGCGTGCCAAAACCGGCCCCGAGATCACTTGCCTTGCTGAAATGAAGCACTCCCGGCTGATGGGATGTGCGAGGAACGCGTTTTGTTTGTTGTCCATGTCGAACGACGGGGCGTTGCGAAGGAGACTCAATTGTCCGCGTATTTATTGAGCGGGTGGAGTCATGTTGACGCTGCCCTGCCCTGCCTGCCTGCCGTGGTCTCTGCAGGGCTGACGTGGGTCATCGTGCTCGTGGCCGTCATCATCACCTCCATCTCTGGCCTTTCCATCTCCGCTATTTCCAACAACGGAAAAGTGGCCCGAGGTGAGGTGACACTTTCCCACCCACGACCGATAATCTTAGGACTACTTAGGACTATTTTGCAAACATGATGCCTTGAATAAAGGTGTCAGTTTTTGTGCCAGTTAAAAGGGTAAAACCTATTCCTATATCTTGTTTCTGGCAAAGGAGGTCTCATAATGTACATGCTCACCCCGAGCCCTCAATACTCTGATGGTGCGCTGTTTTTGAGTTGTACGCCTTTTGGCGTCTTCTGGTCCAACACCAATGGAGACTAGGCTCTAAGAAAAGCCGTCTCGGGTGTGGACCAATCAAATTCAAGGACAGTGCATATTATTATCAGAGTTGTCTTTTTTGTTTGCATTCTGACTGCTTGTGTTGTGGTTTTTGCAAACATGATGCCTTGAATAAAGGTGTCAGTTTTTGTGCCAGTTAAAAGGGTAAAACCTATTCCTAAATCTTAGGACTATTAACGCATTCGCAGTGCATAATTCGTGGCTAATGATGGCGATTGTGATGATCATGATGATGGTGGTGGTGAAACACTTCATTGAACAGTGTCGAAGTAAAACAATTGATACGTAACGGTTAATTCATACAAATATGTTCTTACGCTGCATGCATCATCGAATGATACGTCTAATGATTAATCATTGTTACGTGTATCTGAATTATGTTCAAATGCTTTCTATTGGCTCGTGTAACAAACAATAAAGCACAAACGAGACTGAAAAAACGAAGAATGCAAATGATACGCAAAATGTTGGTTAACGAAATCAAATTTGACGATTAAAAAATCCGAAATGCAAAACGTTTACACGACTCGTAAACAACAATAATAATCTTATTGGTGATTCAAGTCGTTACCAAAATGGAGTGACTCATGCAGCCAGCTGTGGCTCTAGGGCTTGGTTTTACATGTTATGTATGTAGTTTATTGTTAAAAAAAATTCGGTCACAGTTCCTATGATCACTGTTACATTGCATTTATGGCTTTATTTTGGTGATTTCTAAAAGTTTTTTGGTTTGGCCATGTTTTTGTTTATTGTAGTACGGAGTTAGACTGATGGCCTTAATCTAAGTTTTCTTGTTGTTGTTGTTTGACTTGCATCCCACTGGGATTTTTGCACACAGCGTTGGTGTACGGTGCTATTTCAGGAATATTTTGATGTTTTTTCCTGGATTTTCTGTTTGCACAGTCACATAATCACTTTAAGATGTTTTGTTGTTCATGTTTTTGTTTTTTTGTTTGTTGCGGTTGCACCCGATTCAAGAGCCGAATGGCTCACAGGGCTATACCAAATAAATGAAAACTAAACTATGAACGAAACTTAACCAACGAAACTCAGAAGGCAGCCTATTGCTCTTTGGGTCAGCATATCGCGACCACCCCACAATAGGGCACATGCCTCCCCATCGCCAGTAGTGCCGAATCATCTTCCGAACCCCACCGGTTAACCACACGCCCTGGAGTGAGAACACAACGAGTTCTGATCCAGCGACAGCGAGGGTAGCGAGTGTGTGTGTTCTAGGTGCAATACAAGCAGTGTGTGTGTGTGTTCTAGGTGCAGTACAAGCAGTGTGTGTTATAGGTGCAGTAGAAGCAGTGTGTGTGTGTGTTCTAGGTGCAGTCCAAGCTGCCGTGTGTGTTATAGGTGCAATACAAGCAGTGTGTGTGTGTGTTCTAGGTGCAGTCCAAGCTGCCGTGTGTGTTATAGGTGCAGTAGAAGCAGTGTGTGTGTGTGTGTGTTATAGGTGCAGCCCAAGCTGCTGTGTGTGTTATAGGTGCAATACAAGCAGTGTGTGTGTGTGTTATAGGTGCAGCCCAAGCTGCTGTGTGTGTTATAGGTGCAATACAAGCTGCTGTGTGTGTTATAGGTGCAATACAAGCTGTTTCAGTCAAGTTAGCCGCGTGTGCAGAGAAGGGTAACGACCACACGAGGTGCACGGTTGTCTACGTGCGGTGCGAAAGACGTTCAATATACATAACGAGACACGCAGCTCGCGTCCTGTGAATCAGAAGCAAAATGGAGACACACACACGTGTGCGCGCACACACGCACACACACACACATCTGTGCGCACGCACAAACACACGTGCGCGCGCACACGCACACACACGCGCGCACACATCTCGCACACACACACACGTGCGCGTACGCACACACACACGTGTGCGCGCACACACACACACACGTGCGCGCGCGCACACACACGCGCACACACATCTCGCGCACACACATCTCACGCCAGCAACAGCGATAGCAGAGAGACTAGGAGGAGTTGGTGTCGCACCAGTGGGCGACGAAGCGAGAGCGCAGAAGGCTCTGGGCGGCGGAGTGGAGTACAAGCAGTGTGTGTTATAGGTGCAGTAGAAGCAGTGTGTGTGTGTGTGTTCTAGGTGCAGTCCAAGCTGCCGTGTGTGTTATAGGTGCAATACAAGCAGTGTGTGTGTGTGGCAGCGCGCGCGCGCTGCCACACACGCGCGCGCGCGCTGCCACGGCGGCTGCCCGGTTGACCCGTGGGTGTCTGGACGGCGTTGTGCCCAGGTGGGACCTACTTCATGGTGTCACGCACCCTGGGGTACGAGTTGGGTGCCCCCTTCGGGATCCTCTACTCGTTCGCGGCGGCCGTGGGCATCGCCATGCACACCGTGGGCTTCGCCGAGACCCTGCGCGACATCTTGCACGTGAGGAGCCCCCCACGAACCCCCCCCCCCACTGCACCTATAACACACACACACACAGCGTGTACTGCACCTATAACACACACACACAGCGTGTACTGCACCTATAACACACAGCGTGTACTGCACCTATAACACACACACACACAGCGTGTACTGCACCTATAACACAGACAGCGTGTACTGCACCTATAACACACACACACACAGCGTGTACTGCACCTATAACACATACCCGTGTGATCACCTGTGTGATCACACGTGTACGTGTGCACGTGTTTAACTGGTGGGCAGCGGGAGTGTAACGATTAGCGCGATTACGAACCCGGTCACCCGAGTTCGATTCCAGCTCACGGTCCGAGGTCGTCTCAGCCTCAAATGAGTACCTGGTGGTGCACTGTGTAACAAAACAAACAAAAAACAGCGCCACTGGGGAGACAAAGGCGGTCGGGCGTGGTTTGTTGGCCGCCCACTCCATCGTGTGCCGTGCCGGCCTTCATAGGGTGCTCGCTAACAGCACTTGCCCCAACAGTCTGTTCAGGCTATACGGGGGGTGAGATCTTTGTCTCTCGTGTTTAACGCTGTTTGCCGTGTACGCGCGCGTCAGGCCTCGAACCTCATCATGGTGGACAAGGTGAACGACATCCGAATCATCGGCGTCATCACGGTCACCTTCCTGCTGGGCATCGCCATGGCCGGACTCGCGTGGGAGAACAAGGTTCGCCCCCTGACCTCGGTCACAGCCATTTGGCCGGTCACATGGGATTTTAATTTACTTAGGGGCCATCCATTTAGTAGGTTCGCAAAAATCTGTCAAAACTTGACCTCTCCCCCCCTCCATTCCCTGTACGCACGCGTAGTTTTTAAACCCCCCCGCCCCCCACCTTCGTACGTACGCTTAATGCAACCTACCCCCCGACGAATCCTACAGAACGGCCGATATTTAATCCACGCAGAAACGATCATGGATTAATAATATTAACGTGTTCACACAAACAGATAGTCCACCGCCGGACTATCTAACTGATTTGAAGGCCAATGTAGACAAATTATTATCGAGGCTTCACCCCCCCCCCCCCCCCGCTTCCTATGCGTACGTACATTGTCAGTAGGTCCCCCATACGCAAGCGTACGCATTTGGGTTAACCCCCCTCCACCCTCCATGCGTAACGTACTAAATGGATGGCCCCTTATTGCAGCGACCAAGAGCGCTCGCTATGGAGCGTGAACTTGGTCGTGGGTGGTGCCAACGGGACATTGGCCGACGCATGGCTCACGCCAGGGCCGGCCCTGATTTTTGTATCGCTATGCCGGTTTATTCGTCCTCTCCCTTCGCGTTCTGGGTTGGAAAGGGGGGGGGGGGGAGGATATATATGGTCTGACTCTTGTGCATGGCATCGGTGGCAGGGGTAGTGGGCCGGGCGCTGGGGGGGGGGGGATCTTTAACGTCGTGCGAGAGACGAGGGGTTTCTCACGGTACGCGTCACCCACCAGGCCCAGCTCATCTTCTTCGTCCTCATCATCATCTCGCTGCTCAACTACCTCCTCGGCACCGTTATTCCCGCGACGCCAGAGAAGATGTCCAAGGGATTCTTCAACTACAACGGTGAGCGAGGGAAATAAATAAAAGGGGGAGAAGGGCAGCCGAGCAGCCTGTGAACACGTACGGTTTTACCCCGTAGTATTCTTGTACGAGGAAATTGAGTTTTCAGATCCATACGGCGTACAGCCGTTTCAATAGGGGCAAACACATTTTTTTTGTCTATTTGTTTGTCTTTCTCCCTCGTAATGCGACTTTGTAGGATGAACGTTGAGATTTATACGGGGCACGGGGTGACCAATAAGGTCTGAACGTGTCTGTAACAAGGTAGGGCACTGATAAGGGGTTGACGGGTATGTAACGGCAACGTGCAACCGCGTAGACTGCGGTCCTCAATCACATCGTCGTCATCACCGTCGGCCGTTGCCTATCCACTGCTGGATGAAAGCTTCTCCGCTACATTCGTCAATGTGGATTTGTGACGGGGGCATCTTGGATCAGTTTAGATATCACTCCCTGCTGGAGTTGTGTTTGCTGTTTTATATACACACACAGAGACACATTAAAGGGGGCAGGGCTGCACCTTAGAAGTTGTGGTATTTATTCAACGTTATTAATATCCAAAATCGTGCAACAGACTGGACTTTGTGAATTTTTACGCGCCAAAGTCGCGCAACGGATTGGACTTTGTGAATTTGCCGCGCGTTCTAAAACTAACAGCCACATTTGTGCTTATGTCACTTCCAGCAAAGATTTTCGCCGAGAATTTCACTCCGGTGTTTCGCAATACGGAGTTCTTCCGCCTGTTTGGAGTGTTCTTCCCGGCCGTCACGGGCATACTCGCTGGGGCCAATATCTGCGGTGACCTCAAGGTAACGGACTCTGCAGCCAGCTCGCCCGTTTATCGGCACAAGCGCACGTTACACATAATCAGGTTCAAGTTTCGAGTGTATATTCTATAACCGGGCGAGAGCTGGGGCAATAGTCTGCCAGTAGGGAGCGATGATTGTTACTCTTGTGTGTAAGCGCGATTTGATTCACTTGCAGTGTGTATTTTTCGCGAAATTCTGCAAATGTGAACCGCCAAGCCAGTACACAATGGCCTGCCGTTGCGTACGACGCGAGGGGGATCTTGAGCGTCCACTTTGAAGCACGTAATATTACTGTGGATAATACAGCCGCAGTGATTAATCAGGACGGCCTCGGGAACTGAACCGTGACTCTCCGGAGCAGGCGGCGATCGCGCGAGCGCTGATGCTCGGTACCCCACGTCACCACCCAAGGTGGCAATTTGGAGAATCCACCGAATGTCAAAAACTTGTCTCGAGTTTGCTCATATTAAACAAAACGCAGCTCAAAAATGTCCCTCTCAGAAGGCCGTGTGACTGATGGGATGTAAACAAAAAACAAACCTCGTGCTTTGTATGTGAAGGGGCAGATATGGAAAGGGGGTGTATCGTCCGCTCATATTGCGACGCGATGAACATTCGTCACTCGTATATAGTTTCACTCGTGCTGCCAATCTAAGAGCCTGAGATTATTGAACAGCGAATAACCGAAGGGAAATAATTCTGCAGCACAGTGCCAACGTCGCATACCCGACCGTCACGTGTCTGCCCTGACCGCTTAACCGCTTACACACGCAGTGCAGTGTGTGCGTAATGCGGGACATCGGTCGTTTTCAATGGTCACATCCGATCACACATCCGCCTATACGTCGGTGCCCAACGGGGCCCGGGTGTGAGACGTTGTGCGGTCGTCCACGCCGAGTCAGACTCATAACGTGGCGTGGTGCCTGAGAACAGCCACACTCCAATGCAGCGCCGCTCACGGTGTGGTTTTGTGCGACTCTTATCGTGAAGGACCCAGCCTCTGCCATTCCCAAGGGGACGCTTCTGGCTATCCTGACAACGGCTTTGTCCTACCTCATCATCAACACGACCATCGGTGAGTGGCTCCCCAGCTTTTGGCACAACGCGCATCACGGGGTCCCCCATACGGTACGGTGTGGCGCAGTGGTTGACATCCGTGCATCGCAGCAAGCTGGCCCTGGGTTTGATTCCCTAACCCGGGGCACCTTTCTGCGTGCAGTTTCTACGTTATCCTCCTGTTCTGCGTGGGGGGTTTGCTCCGGGCTCTCCAGTTTCCTCCCAGAGCTAACCCCCCCCCCCTCCTCCAGCCCCTGCCGTCATGCACAATTTGACCGGTATTGGCCAAACGTAGCAATGCTGAAACATTAACGCGCCTGCAAATCATTCAACTGGGGATAGAGCAACATTGCCTCCTGCTGCCAAAACCTGGCAGGACCCCTTCCTGACCAAAAAAAAAATATTATTTTTCTCGTGACTCAACACGACTTTGCTGGGTTACACAAGCGCAACAATGGCAATAATAACTCGCTATTTAAAAAAAAATTAAAAACCGTGGCGGTGGCTTTGGTCGCAGGCGCGGTGATGCTGCGCGACGCCTCGGGCCTCCTCTCCGACTCCTTCGCCTGGGTGCCCTCCGTCAACGCCACCAACTCCAGCCTGCCGATCGCCAACGGCAGCACCACGCTGAGCCCCCTGAGCAGCTTCGCGACGAGCAACGTGACCGTGAGCACCACCGTCGCCACGCTCTTCGCCTCCTCCGCCTCCTCCTCCGCCACCGCGGCGTCCGTGCACGTGTGCAACGGCAGCAGCAAGCTGGCCTGCGAACTGGGCTGGAACTTCACTGCCTGCAGCCTCTTCAGGCCCGACACCACGTCACCCTGCACCTTCGGCTTCGTCAACAACTACCAGGTGCCGGATGCGTTTTGTTTCCGATGGGAGGATTCACCTGCTCTCCGTTATCCGTTTGGACATCATCTGTGGGGGTGGGGAAGAGCTTTGGCGCTCATCGGATTCCTCCGGCGTGAATATCCTGATATTTACGAGTTTGATGAGAGCGCCGTTTGTTGCTGGCCACTTGACGTTTGGGGGACTTTGGGCCCACTGCGCTCAGCAACTGTCAAAACAATTACAGCTTATTACAGGGTGCTTCAAAGCAATGTTAGAAGTTACATGGCACTATCGTTTTTAATGGAAAAATAATGGATGATAAACTGTAAATTGATAACAAATCTATGCTAATAGCTTCAAAAAGTCAAAGAGTCTCCACTTCCATAATAGAGGTTTTTTTTTTTTGGGCTAGATCGCGTAAATATATAAATGTGTCGTTAAAACCCGCCACCACCCGACACAGCCAACTAGCAAGGGTTGTCACGTAAACAGAACGTGGCCGATTCGTCACTAGTACAGCAGCACACCGGTGTGTTGGAGAGCCAAGCCACAACATTTACAATCCGAGTACGACGTTTCCACTTGTTCGCCATCGTTGTCAACGCGTGCCTGGAATCTTCTCCAGGTGGTCTCCAGAGCCCGGAGGCGGCACAACATTTCTCGTGGTGTTGTTGCAAATTCTCGGAAGTGTTAACATTTTTTTGAAACACCCTGTATAGGTTTCCACCTCGCACTGCGCGGGTTCGGTTCGTGCCGATCGCCTGCAATCCATGCGGCTGACCAATTTCCACGCAGCAAATAAACTCCTTAAAAAAAGTTTTTTTTTTAAAACAACGGGTTTTTATTAACAACTTCGTTTAACTCGCGGTCGAGAAGTACGTCATAGACGCCTGAGACACGCGGCGCCTGCTTTGTGTGCGAACCGATTCCACAGTTTAGGGACCGCGGCGTTTTTGACCTACACAAAAATATATAATGAATAAGCCGTCCATACAAAAATTGTAATTGCTTGAAAGGAGGCAATTGATGAATTGATGCCGATTTTCATACGGGCATGCATTGTCATCGGATCTGAGTACGTGTGCAAATTTTTCAATCGATTTGACAACAGCAAGTAGACTAACTTTTGATTGCAAGATTTGACCACGACAAACACAAGCGAAATTAAATAAAACCCGTTGATAAACCCTCCCCGCCTCTACGCGTCGTCTACACGAGCGACGTGAGCTGGCGGTGCCGCGGAGCGAGAGAGGGGAGCGCGGTTGATGTCAGCGCCGCTCTCCCTTGGGCCACAACCGCTGCCTCCGTGCCGCCCCCAAGGTGATGGCGATGGTGTCCGCCTGGGCTCCGCTCATCTACGCCGGCATTTTCGGGGCGGCTCTCTCCTCCGCGCTCGCCAATCTCATCAGCGCGCCCAAGTGCTTCCAGGTGAGGCCGTGCCCGGGGGTTCACGCGATGCCTGACCCCTGCGATTCCCCCCACCGGGCACCGCGGCATCCGCTGTTCAAAACGTTGCCAATCCGCTGCTGGATGAGGGCCGCACCCCAACTCCCACGCCGTGTGGTGTCGCAGGGGATTGTCAGACCAGACCTCGAGCCCAGTGGCGTCACTAGGGTTGTTGTCACCCAGTGCGGTAACTCACGGTGTCACCACCCATGGACCTCTGCCCGCACAAGACCATATAGAATCCTTAGTAATGTTTTTTGTACTAATGTTACTCGTAAAGGGTAATTCGCGTATGTCACTGATTGTAATGGCAATAGTGGTGACGTAAACAACTAGCAAAATAAAAATTTACACCTTTAAATTACAATATTTCCTTGAATTACTACGTAATTCTCTAAAAAGTTATTGATATAGGTTCACAAATACTAATTGCCACAATATTGTAGCTAAAACACCAGAAAATTTGACTAAATCAGCGACTATAAAAACACGAGCAGCGACGAACACAACAGCGCGTGCTTGTGGCGCGTGCAGACGAAACCACGTGACTCGAAGCGTCACTGCAGTCGGGTAACAATGGCAGCTCTGACCGGAGCGCATTCGAAGGTTCAAAAAGTAAATTAGAGTTTTAGCCTTGCAGGTATATTGATACGGTACATGTAAGCAGGGCTTACGAAAAATGTTGTTATAACTAAAACTACAGGGATATTTATTTATTCTAGATTTAAAGCTTTCGTGACTGCAAGGATCCATACTCTTTGGTTCTATTCGGTAAAGTCACGTAGGTAAAAATAAAACAACAAAAAATCACGTGACTTTACCGAATAGAACCAAAGAGTATGGATATTTTTTGTTATATATATAAAAAAAATCTGCTGAAACACTGCACAAAAAATGTTATAGACAGTAATTTTGGTGTCACTCCCTCTGATGGTGTCACGCGGTGCGGTCCTCACCCCCCCCCCACCCCGCCCGCCCGCCCGCAACCCCTTGTGACGTCACTGCCCGAGCCTCGTCGGTCAGTGCGCGTTGGTGAAGGCGGGCGGGGGAGTTTGCGTGCTTGAGAGCACAGAAGCAGAGTGCCACACGGCATTGGATGTCTGCCGCACTGCTGCCCCCGCTGCCACATGCTCTCTACGAGTGTGGAGTTGCTTCTTTACTTTGAGTTGACGCGCGTTTCGTTTGTTTGCGTGGCACTTGATTATCTCCCCGCCCGCCCCCCCCACCACCTTCTCAGGGAGTGGCCAGGGACAACATTTACCCTGGAATCAGCATCTTTGGCAAGGGCTTTGGTCGCAACCAGGAGCCCCTGTTTGGCTACCTGCTTGCCTACTTAATTTCCATTTGCTTCATCATAATTGGTAAGTTTATCACTTTAAAGTTTATTTTGTTTAACTGCGTTAGAACTCAGAGAGAGAGAGAGAGACGAGGAATGTTATTTTATTCACCCAGGTCACCAAAATGATAAAAGTAGTATCATATAAAGTACAACAATTACACAAATAGCAATTTGAGGAAAAACAACCACATTACATAACTAAAATATATTTTAAAAAACGGTGCACACGCACAAATAATCATAAAATACAATTTTAAAAATGTGGGTGCAAATTGTGAACAATAGCCACATTAGACATTAAAACATCTAATCGATATACTGAGTGGTTTCACTGCAGCTCAAAGAATAATCCCATTATAAAAAAGTTGGTTTCGGCAAAATTACTTTAAAAAATAAACATTCATCGTAAAATTCAGTTAAAGCAACTTTAAAAATAGATGCGTGGTGATTTAAACAGGCGTGGACATGTGTCACACCATTGGTAGTCATTGGTGTCTTCTGCTTTACCTTAGCCATTGATTTAGTATTTTCTCTTTTCACCAATGCAATTGCACAATAATATAATGAACCGTAAGAAGTGGCATTGCTGAAATTTTTCAACTTGAGTATCGTTGCTACAAGTCAGCGGCAATGATGGCAGTGGCAGCATTGTCTGCAATGCGATTGCTGTGATGCGATCCTGCGATTAATCGTACGATGCAAGATCCACAATAGTATTACTTCATGATTATCACTGTTCAGTTAATGTTCTTAAATGTTTTATTCCCGTTTAGAATAATGGTAAATAAATACCGATTACCCACTACATCAGTGCTTTGCAAAACATTTTCTCGAGTAGCTGATGGTGGCGGTTAAATGGCGTTATAATATTTGCAGTCCCTGTAATCAGTGCCGGATTAAGCTAGTGCGGGGCCTGTAGCATATATTATAAAGGGGCCCTAAATAAAAAAAACAGATGAATATTAAAACACATTTTTTACTTGCATAGTAAAGCAATTGTATTTTTTCATTTGCTATACAGCCAGATAATACGACAAATCGCTATCCTTAAACACCCAGTCGTTCGTAAAAGTTGAATGCGGTATAGTACTATAGTAATAGAGCAAGTGTAGAATCACTGAACCAGAATTGATAGCTTGAAAGCGTTTAGCGCGGGGTCCTTGAAAGTGCGGGGCCCGTAGCGTATGTATCTAAATCTTGACATAAAGCTTTCGTGACTGCAGGAAATAATATTCTTGGGTCTTTCGGTAAAGTCACATAGATAGGTTAAAAGAAAATAACAAAAAACTACGACGTTTCAATCGCAACAAAAGCAATCGTCATCAGAAAAAAAGGCGGGAAAGTTGCTGAGGCAGGCTGTTTTAAAGGTTTGAAATGGGTGTAGCCCAAGGGTCTACACCCATTTCAGACCTTCTCTGAGCCTATATTCTTAGCTCTTTCGCAAAGTCACGTTGAAGGGAAACAATAAAATAATTATATATATATATATAAAACAATAAAGAATATGAATTACTGCAGTCACGAAAGCTTTAAATCAAAATTTATCTGAACTTATCTACATGACTTTACCGAAAGACCCAAGAATATACTGTACATACGTAGCTACTTTTGCTCCTAGGGATAATCCGGCACTGGCTGTAATCAGTTATTGTGTAATTGACAGCACGTGCGATATAAGCGCTGTAGAATATAGAGATCCAATGATCAGGAGACTCGTGGCAGCTATATGTCTGGAGCTGTCTACGTAGTTCATGGCATTCAATATGCCGTGACATTTTTACATTTTTTGTCAAAAAAGAGATCAGAAACATTGGTTAACATAATTTGGTATCACGTTGCAAACTGGGTAATCATTTGTTTCTGTCCACGTCGAGTGATGCAGAGTGTTTATTACCATGAACACGGGAGGATAATTCTCATCAATCCCACAGTGAAGCTCCATTTGATGCCGTTCGTATTTTTCTGCAGCCGAGTTGAATATCATCGCGCCCATCATCTCCTGCTTTTTCATCATCTCCTACACCATCCTCAACTTCAGCTGCTTCCACGCCTCCTTCATCAAAACTCCCGGTGAGACGGAGTTGATGCAAATGCCAATCGATGTGGAAGGCATGCAACTCGCAGCACAACGGCTCCCGCATTCAATGTCTCTCTCGATGAGCTCTGTGGAGCTCCCCTCTCGAGGAGGGCCCTTTAACCAACAGCTGGTGTGAGCAAGTGATTTCCAGGGTTGCACTTTTACCTTTACTTTACGCTGTAGGATGTCCGGGTCTATTAAAATTGTAGTTATTTATATAATTCACAATGCGTCGTGATCACAGGAGGGTAATTAAAATTGTAGCTCGCAGTGTTGCTGTAACTGTAATTATAATTGATTCCAAGTTTGCCCAGGGCATGTTTAAAACGGACGTTACCCATGGCAGGGGGTTGGACCTAGTTACCCGCGATCGCCGCGCAGTGCCCCAATCACTGCGCTGCTGCTCCCCAAGCAAAGCCAAAGATTGCGGGCACAGTTTATCCTTTCACAACGTTGGGGGGGGTGAGTGCTCTTGGGGGCCAAGCCGAGGCTCACGGAGCGTCGTTTGTCCCGCGCGCAGGATGGCGCCCCGACTTCAAGTTCTACCACCCAGCGGTGTCCTTCATCGGCGCGGTGCTCAACGTGATCGTGATGTTCCTGCTGCTGTGGTGGGGTGCCATCATCGCCTTCGGCATGTGGATCATCCTCTACCTCTACGTCACCTACCGCAGGCCAGGTGTCAATACGCGCCAGCGTTCCCTTCACACGTTGCCTCTCGACACTTGCAACGTCACCTTTGTATTTACCCTCCCCCCCCCCCCCCAATTTGTATACCAGTTGCTTCAAACGGTGTCGCGTTATGTGATGAAGAATCCATTCGGGATCTCGCATGCAGCAGTGCAACTCTCTGGCCCACACAAAGTGGATACAACAGAGCTACCTCTGAGATCCCTTAAAGTAAACTCTGGTCCACAAAATGGGGGGGGGGGGATAATAGTACTTTCTCACCTGCTCTGACATAGGAGCTGGCATTTATCCAGATTAAGTGCGGAAGAACATTTTATGCGACGGGGTTATTTTTTGTGCAGTCGTTGATGACTGGGCTCAAGTCAGCAGCTTACTACACTTGAGAATTCTATTTAATCACAGACAGCCGACGGGACTCAAAGCCATGATCTCAGCGGTGCCAGCTCGACACTCTAACCTCCGAGCCGCAGGGCCATCTGACCTCGCTTATGAAAACCTAAAATTGCTCAGAGTCAAATGTGTCTTCATAATCGAACGATCGAATGAGCATTGGGAAGCGTTCATCGACGTTCGTGAACCCTAGCCAGTGATGACAATTCCACATTGATACGACGAGGCCCAGTCTGTGAAGAAGTGGCTGTGTCGCAATCGGAATGTTGTGAATTTAAAAATATGGTTTGGAGTTTACTCAACGCATAATCTCTCCAGGGTGAATAAAATGGGTACTATTTTGTGAAAAGTCAGACTGCATGCTATGGCGAGACTCAATTGAGCAAGGAGATACCAATGGTTTGTGAATAGCACTGCATGTTAACCCAACCATGTGTCGACAGCTGGCAGTTTAACTGGACGCCTCCAGATACTAACAACTTCTTTGGTCCCTCTTTGCAGACGTCAACTGGGGTTCATCGATGCAGGCCATGAGCTTCAATACTGCACTCTACACGAACCTCACTCTGGACCGGGAGCTGTACCACGTCAAAAATTACAGGTGACAACACACCAAAGGGGATTTCTGTGTCTGCGCCTTCATCGTCATACCGGCTACCTTAAACCATTCCAGTACTGAGGAATCATCATAGTCATTGGTTTCGCTCGTCTGTGTGTTAAGGGTCGCCTTCATCCACCTCAACTCCAGGACTGTGATTTCGGCCCCTCTAATCTCCTGTTGTAGAGGCCTCCTGCGTGTTCAGCGTGAGTCGCGCCCCAAATCTGCACAGAGCACCAAGGCCCCCTAAATGCCTCCCGCCTTAAATTCCCCAGCCGGCTGTGCTGGTGATGGTCAACCGATTCTTGAGGTCGAAGTCTGCCCCTTCTGCTCTCAAATGAATGCTCAGCAGTGCTCATCAGCATCGGTGGTCCCGAGCCAGGAGTGGAAATTCCTCATTCCTACGGTAGAATTATTATCTCGGGGTTGACAACCTCTAGTTGATTCTTGCTGTTGTTGTTGTTGTTGACCAACCTCAGAAAGAAGAGAGGCTGAGACAGCGAGTTACTGCCGGCGGTTCTTTATCCATCTACGGCTAGAATCCACTTTGTGCGCACGAGCACTGCCTTCGCGAGTTTGCACCGTCCCTTGACGAGCCCTGTGACCCGACCGCTTCCTGCAGGCCCAACTGCCTGGTGCTAACGGGGCCTCCAAACCTGCGGCCGGCGCTGGTCGACTTTGTGGGCACCTTCACCAAGGACATCGGCCTCATGGTCTGCGGCAACATCCTCGTGGTAAGCGAGGACGCTTCATTTTTCCTGGTCTCCTGCATCACAGCAGTGAAAATTACCCAGTTGGCAAAGGAGTTGGGTCTGTGCCATTCGTGGCACCACTGATATCCTCCGATTGCTGCACGGTTGGCGACGTAGGGTGCGAAAGTAGTTCAACATACATATATACCACAAATATGCAATCTACACAAATTTACAATGAGGCCGTTCAATGTACGGGTTTATATATAATATTATGTACAAGCCATTACCCATTTACAATACTTTATTAAAGTCGTAATCATCATAGTGTATCTTGCAACACTGTAATTACCAAACAATAAAACGACGAATATTACAACTCTATTAAGGCCTCTGGATCTCGGAACGAGCAAGCGGTTCAGCATTAATTTTATTAGAGAGGCGTAGCGCCGCCGTTTTTAAAGACATCGTACTCACCGCAGAGAACCGTAGCGACACGACCACCACGCTGTACGATAGCCGGCGTCAAAACTGTGGAGGACGCCGTTCCCCATGGCCTTTTACTTCCGATTCCGTTCCGATGACGGACGCGTACGTCAAAACTGATTACGTACGGCGCACTGCATCAGCACGGGAAAAGGGGTCAAATAGGTGTCGATGTCGTGTGCTAGCCCGCGCCCTTACCCAGGCCTCGCGCCGGCCGTGCACCTGCGTCTCGCCTCATCGCAGGGTCCCAAGGGCGAGAAGGTGAAGGAGCTGCTGGAGAGCAAGCACAACGAGTGGCTGCACAGGCGCAAGGTGAACGCCTTCTACACGGGGTTCGTCGCCACCAACATGCAGGACGGAGCCTTCGGCCTGCTGCAGGTCCGACACAAGCGAGCGCTCCGCACGGCCCGCGTGGCCAACACACGTCGGCTTCGGTCAGCGATTACGGCGAGGGAAAGCATCTGTGGTGCATGTTAGCGTCCCTCCTGTTATGGAATAGGCATCCCCCTGTTTTGACTGTGCACTCAGGCCCTCCGGTGTCACTGGCACATGGGCCAATCCAGTGCCCGTCAATGACACCGATGGCAATTTGTTTTTCAATCGAACTGCCCTCCTTTACGCCGGGGCGTCTCGTAGTGCTTGACACGCGACAAACAACTTTCGTCTCGTCTCATCTCCTCAACACGTTTTTGACAGGACCCCACCACCTCTCCCCACACTCCAGGGGCAGTTGTCCCCTTTGTAGCACAGGCTGACTCAGCACCTCACCTGCCATGCGGGCATTGCTCTGGCATCAGGTGGGGCCGATGATTGCTGCTGTGTGTTGCAATCCCATGCTCATATGCAGAAGGAAACCACTCACTCTTATGACGTTAGTTTAAAATCCGAGAGCAAATGTATTAAACCACGAGTGACGGCTGCCGTTGTTTTTGCCCCACAGAGCACCGGTATTGGGAAGCTGTGCCCCAACATCCTCATCATGGGCTTCAAGAACATGTGGCAGGAGGAGGAGCCCATTAACATGCACCACTACATCCAAATCATCCAGTGAGTGCTGCTCATTCGCGCTGCCCATGGGACATTAGGAAACATGCCACGGTGTGCCTGCCTGCGGTCGCCAAAAAGTCCAGTGAGGGGCCCCAACTTGCGGCACTGCTGGCAATATCTGGAGACGCCTGCCTGGCCCAAGTACACGTACATTATGCAGTACTACATTGGATGGCCCATGGCTATCACGGATGGGAAATCCCAAAAGGAAATTATTTTGTTGAATTGCTCATCATTACTTAACCTGCCAAGGTGCTGTAGTCCATGTTGGTGAACACCGATCCGGCTCTGCTCACCGGTTCTTCCATCTGCTGCTGCTGCTGACGCGGCGACGCCGTGATTGCACCCTCGTGTTTCCACAGCGACGTGTTCGACTTGAACATGTCCCTGGGCATCCTGCGAGTCAAGGAGGGCATCGACATCACCAGCATGCCCGAGACTCACGGTAAGTGACCACGGCACAAACCCGAGGAGCCGTGGAGTAAGAAGGGGGGGGGGGGGATACGTGTTCTTGTACTCTCAGCTTGCACCGACCACCGGATAATGCTGATACGTGATACACTTTTGTGTTGGGCCACGTAATGATCTGGCCAAATTGGCGATGTAAGACCGTCCACCCCCCGACATAGCTAAAACAAATGAATTTGTCACGTGGCGTACGAGCGTTTAATCGCCCCAAACGTCATTGGTTCAGCCTCGTCCGTGAGTTGCGGCACAATTCTCACAGCCAAATTTAGCGATGAGATACGCGACATCTTTTAACTTCGGTTCCTCAAAAAGCTCCCAGCACGTGGAATGAAACGTCGGACATCATGCCGAACAATGCGTGGCACGAACCGAGAATGCATCAGATGGCTAAATTGCTCGGTGTTCATTTCTTTGCACATGTGCTCATCTTATAGCAATCCAGTTTCCTTAAGAGCTGTTTTTAGACAACGTGGCTTATCATCCTTGTGTAGACTGTATACCAAGGTCATTTTAAGCTACAAAATATTTCGCAATGCATTTGAGGTTCTCAAACACATTGAAGCGATTTATGTCGACAGTTACACACCGCAATCGGACAGTCACGTTGGGATGTGCAAGTCATCGTTGATAAAAAAAAAAACATTTGAATATGGGAAATACTCCATCTAAAGTTCGAAATAAATATTCAGAGGTACAGCAATACTATAATGAACTCTCCTCTCTCTTTAGCAATGAGAAAGCAATACCAAGAAATCCATCAACCAAATGAGGCATTGAAGGCCTTTGGCCAGTAAAATAGGCCAGTATACCTATCAGAGGGGCCCTCTCGAGCTCCCTAAGGTGGAAGCCCTTCCACCAGCAGTCACGCGAGTAAGCAATTGCAGGGCTGTACCTTGACCCTTCCGCGCATTTCTTTTCCACCGGTTGTGCAATTAGGATCATCTGCATATTCACGTCAAAGGGCAGTGTCCATTCTGCTCTAATTAGTATTGGGGGCAGCACTCAACTCCCTTGGTGACCCAGAGGCAGTGATGTAAATTCCACAATCATATGCTAGGGACCAGTTGATCCCATTCAATGACCTCTAATTGATTCTCCTCCAAATGGTGCTTGTTTATATTTATTTCAGACTGATGATGGGCTGAGTAGGCCTTGGCCGGGATTTGAACTCTTAACCTGGGGTCAATCGCTTATTTCAGGAATGGTGCATTGCTGATTTCTGCCAAATGATTTTCACGGCGTTGCTTGAGCAATCCATCTCTTGGGAGCAATGATTCTGGCTTTTGTAACCTCTGTGCGTCTTGTCTGCTTATGGTCTTAGCTTTGGAGCGACTTCAGGCTCAAATTTGTGATGCTTTTCACTTAAAACTATGCCAAGCATTGTTAGGAGAAACTTAAAAGATTCTGACCAACATCCAGGAAGTCGAATTTTCCCAGATCATGATGTGGCCTAACCCAAACACCATTTATGAATCATAACATCAGCTGAAAAACCCTACGCGCTAGGGTAACCATACGAACCTATACATGCCTGGACAGTTTGCTTGTGAGGACCGTGACAAATGTTTCGATGCATCCGCGAAGGTTTTAGCGGTGGTGCCACGATGTTTGCTAGAGTTGTATACCACGCGGTGTCGATGTCCGTGGTTTCGGGATTAAACCGCGTGTCGTTCGTGTGTCCTCGAGGTTTCGCTCCTCGTGCTGGGAGCATCAGACCTGGAAACGCATCGGATGGCTTGGTCGTAGAGACAATATCAGGCAGTGCTTCTTTCAGAAAGCACACAATAGTGGGGACATTTTTCTTCTGGGTTATTTCGGTAAAGTCACCGAAAGAACCCAGAAGATGAATCCCTGGAGTCACGAAAGCTTTCAATTGAAAAGTGGGGACATTCTCGAGTGTATGTTTCAGTTAGTGCGCATTCGTGAACGTCACTCGCCACTGATGTTAGCCACGGCTGACGGAACGCTTATTTTAAAGTCCTGGTGACTCACAGGAGTCAATAGTTATCGCGCATTCCCGCGAGACGCCAGGACTTAGACAAGCGGTAGCAACACCTCGGCTGGATGCACACTGCCCGAGGATGCCGTGGGAGGAGGCGAGACGCCGCGAAGGAGCTCGCACCAGCGCTCGCCACAGCTATCCCCAAAGAGCAGCCTGTTATTAGAGCATTCATCACATTCCAGTGAGTCAATCGGCAGGCCGCGTGTGGTGGGGTTAAGCGTGGGTGACCCCCACCTCTTCCGAGATGCGTATAGCCAAAAATACTTTACCCTGCAGAGGTCCTCTCTAGTGCTTCTGCTATTTGGGAAGTTGGGGGAGGAGTAGGGGGGGGGGGCCTTAAGCTGCCAGGAGCGTGATTGCAGGGCTGCACCTGTGCCTTTACCCTGTGTTAATGACGTCGCTGTTTTGTTCTGCTCATCCAGTCAACATGGCTTTCCAGTTTGACGCGGATAGCAAGTCCTCTCGCAAAGTGGCCAGCCTTGTAGCAACGTCAGCGTAAGGATCCGCAGCAAATTCACACAAAATACTCGACTTTTGCACCTCCCCGGCGCCAGTTTGCATTCGCGCCAAGCAGCGTCGGATACGTCTGTTAAAAGCATTTCTTTCCGCGTTCTCTCTGCAGTCTGAAGAGAGTTTCCCCGAACACGGCGCAAGGTATAGACGCTGCCGCTCTCCCCTTTTGCTGTGGCACCTTCTTCTGCCCCACCTGTACCGCGGTGAACACTGAAACTGAAAAGCGGAAGCAATACACGAAAAAAGGCCATGGAAAACAAACAAATAACGGGCTTGCTAGCAAGTAGGGGCTACGGTTCGTGAGATGGCTAGCGCTCGTGGCCGGACGGCCCATATGGTTAATGCTGAACACCTGATAATGTTATGGTTAGGGTTGAGGCTAGGGGCCGGGATAGCGTCCGATTGGCCATGGCGTGTGTCTCGGTCTCACTTGCCCCTCCTTCCCAAAGCAACGCGTGGCATTTTTTCAGATGTTGGCTGCTTTTTTGTTTCTGGTGTTGACGGTGACATTCTTAACTCAATCACGATCGTCAGTGGTGATTTTGGCGCAGCTGACCATGGTTCCCTAACATTTAACATGTGTAAGTTAAAACAAATAAAGGCTTCACATTAACAGCACAAGTGAGAATTTTATTTTATGTTTAATTTTTCTTATTTTATTATTTCCCTTCTACGTGACTTTACCGAAAGAACCAAGAAGGAGCACATGTCCAGTATATTACAGCACTGCAACACTCCAGTGTGGTATTTCAACTGGTGGCACTGTTGGCAGATCGCTTAAATTAGCCCATCATCCTTCTTGGAGTTTTTAAAATAAGTACAGCTTTGTGGGAAATCACCATTGGTTGTCTAGTGTAGACAATGGATATTGCCATAGCAATGTGAAATTTCCACTTCCAGCTCAGGGCTTTAAATGATATAATGAGCTATGCCTGCCACTTTTTACGAACACGGGGAAAACCTTTGACTGAATATACCATGGTGATCTGTGCCAAAAATATCATTCGCAAACCTACCGGGCTTCATCCTTGTCTGGGAAGCAGCCCCTTTGAGCACAGCTTTTGTGCACGCGCGGCCACCGTGAAACTTTGTGCTTCTATCCACAACCCGGTGAAGAGAGCCTCTTCCTGAGATGTAAATCGGGCCAGCGGTGTTTCACGCACTAACCTAACGTATCGTGATCGGCGGTCTTAAAATGAAATCAAATGAAAGGCAATGAGATCATTTGACTGCCATTGGGGCGAATGACATTACAGTGAATGTCAGAGCGAACGCTCGCTTCCCAAGGCTGTATCTGTGGACCCTGTAGCCCAGTGCCGGATTAAGCGAGTGCGGGGCCTGTAGCATATGTTATAAAAGGGTCCTAAATAAAAAAAAAACACATAAATATGAAAACACAATTTTTTTACTTTCACAGTAAAGTAATTTAATTTTTTCTATACAGCCAAATAACACGACAAATTACTAACCTTAAACACCCAGTCGTTCATAAAAGTTGAAGGCGGTATAGTACTTTAGTAATAGAGCAAGTGCAGAATCACTGAACCGGAATTGATAGCTTGAAAGCATTTAGCACGGGGCCCTTGAAAGTGTGGGGCCCGTAGCTACCACATATGTAGCTACTTGTGCTACTCGTGATACGCTCGTCGAATCGTGCATGGGAGAATCACTGACCCGCACTGACCAGCGTGGCGAAGTTACGGTAAAAGAAACCCCCGTGACCTCCACGGCGTGGTGGTGTTGAGGGACCTCATTTCATTGGTGGATTGAGATTGGCTGGAATTGATTGATTAATTTCATTTCACTATGCGTTTATACAGTTATATAACGTATCCATTCATACACCTGTGGATTCTGCATGTATTCTAACAGAAGCGTAATCGAATGCTTCATCAAATCGTGACCCCAAAACAATAACGAATCCTCAAATCGTGGGAAAGGGTTCATCGTTACCCCTCTAGTGCCGTGTAACCGGTGGGTGCATTGGGGAGAAGGTCGGCACACAGGGGAGGGGATGTAAGCGGGGTGAGCCGTGCGGTTGCAGCGTCAACTCATTGCTCCTGTGTCCCGGTGCTCGCAGAAGGCGCCGTCCAGGAGGGGATGCCGCAGATCAGCACCGTCTTCCAGTTCAGCCAGGGCAAGAGGACGATCGACATCTACTGGCTCTTTGACGACGGAGGTTTGTCCCACCGGGGTTGCTCTGGGTCCCCTCTTAGTCGATGGGCCCAGTGCAGGCAATGTACCCCCACCGGTACCAATCTGAGATGACCAAATCGTCGTCGCTGTATTTGAATACCTGGACAATGTTATCAACAGAAAATTAGTACAACTCTGTAGAAAGCCACCAGGCATTTGTCCATTGGAGAACATCGTTCCAAAAATACGAGCATGGCGCAGTGGTTCACGCGGTCCACAAACCTGGCGATCTGAGTTTTATTCTTTGGCCATGGTTAACATCAGCGGTGAGTGATATCTAAACCAATCCAGGCCCCATCCAACGCCACCAACCCCACCATGACTGATAATGATGGGAGGGAGGCCTTCATACAACAGTGGGTTGACAGAGAGCTGCAGATGACGACTCATGATGAGTAAGTGTCCCGCTGGGTAGCTCGCTGCCGTCACGTTGGCTATGGAGTGAGCCGCCGGGCGGTTGTGTTTTTCTCCAGGCCTCACGCTGCTGCTGCCGTACCTGCTGTCCAAGAAGAAGCGCTGGAGACACTGCAAGATCCGCGTCTTCATGGGAGGGAAGCTGGACCGCCTGGAGGAGGACAAGCAGAAGTAAGGCTCGCGCCAAACGCACGATTACTCGCGTGCAGCGAACGCGGGTGGATCCTGCAGTGGAATGACAGGGGGACTGAATTTGGGCTAGGGCTGCTTTAATTTGCGTGGAAAAAAAAACAAACTGGATTCGCCTATCAACAAAATTATCACGCAGTTGGATTCCCCGTCGTGTGCCTCTGCGCCGTGGCCAAACGTGCGGAGCGCACGCCGAGAGCGAGCGGTGGAGACCGCTCCTTGCCGCTCGTGCCATGCGAGCGAGTAAAGTGACTCGCGGCGTGAGCGAGTGAAGTAACCGGCGGAGTCAGCGAGTGAAGTAACCGGTGGTGTGCGCCACCTCTCCATCCCCAGCATGACGCGGCTCATCACCCGCTTCCGCCTGGACGTGGACGACGTCATCATCCTGACGGACATCAACAAGAAGCCGCGCACGGAGAAGTGAGGACGCGTCGCCGACACCTTCAGTCATGTCCAGTTTGACTGTCCACCTTGAGTGTCTATCTTGAGTGTCCACCTTGAGTGTCCACCTTGAGTGTCCACCTTGAGTGTCTACCTTGAGTGTCTACCTTGAGTGCCTAGCTTGAGTGTTTACCTTGAGTGTCCACCTTGAGTGTCCATCTTGAGTGTCCAGTTTGACTGTCCACCTTGAGTGTCCACCTTGATTGTCTACCTTGAGTGTCTAGCTTGAGTGTCCACCTTGAGTGTCCATCTTGAGTGTCCACCTTGAGTGTCCATCTTGAGTGTCTACCTTGAGTGTCCACCTTGAGTGTCCACCTTGAGTGTCTAACTGGGTGATGTACAGTTACGGTTGCCACCTCTGAGCTACAAAAAGTGCGGCACATGTCACGTGGTGAGTGATATCTCACAATAGAGGACGAGGGGAGAGCTCCACGTCAATGCATTGCCTTGAGGGGGGTATAATTTCGCCTACCGACAAAAACCGAGACTTGTAGTCCCCTGGAAGAACTCGCCGATTTACCAGGAAAGCAGCAATCTCCTCGGCAGGTGGAGGTTCCTAGGGGAACCAGAAGAGTTGTCAGGTAGTGAGTTCGCAGCCCGGTTGGGGGCCATCCGTTTAGTACGTACGCATGGAGGGGGGAGGGGGGTGAAACCTCGATAATAATTTGTCGACGTTGGCCTTCAAATGAGCCACAGTTCAGTTTCTTCAGCTGTGAGAGAACAAGTACTACCGGGAGAGGTAGGACTGTGGGAGAGGTGTCACTTTGTGTGCCACCGTGCCCCCTGACTGCAGCTATCACGCAGCTCAGCAAAATAAGTGGCCAAGGTACGCAACTTAAATCTTTAATGCAGCCGGCGGTGGACTATCTGTTTGCTTAAACACGTTAATATTATTCATCCTTGATCGTTTCTGCGTGGATTAAATATCTGCCATTCTATAGGATTCGGGGGGGGGGGGGGGGGGGGGTGCGTCAAGCGTACGTACGCAGGTGGGGGGGAGGGGGTGTACAAAGTCCGCGTGCGTACAGGGAGAGGGGTCAAGTTCTGACAGATTTTTGCGTGCCTACCCAATGGATGGCCCCTTGGAGTCAACACGGCCCCTCATGCCTTCAGGGCGGATCTAATCAACACCACCACGTGAGAAGTCAGCAGCCGTTGTCGTTGTCTTCTCAGGAGAGACCGGCGTGTTGAGGATGAATGCCATACCTGTCAACCCATACGGTTTACCCCTGTTCCTGTACAGAATAATTTAGTTTTTAGGTCCATACTGTGTATAGCCGTTTCCATACGGACAAAAAAATATATATTTGTTCGTGTTGCTCCCATGTGATGGGACTTTGTAGGATGAACGTTGAGATTTATAAGGGCACGGGGTGACCAATACGGTCTGAATCGGTCTGTAATAAGTTAGGGCAATGATAAGGGGTTGACAGCCGTGTGAATGTGGAATTTCCACTTCTGGCTGGGCTCCCCCTGTCGAGCTGAGCACTTCTCCCTGCTCACCGTGCGAGGTGTCCCCCGCATCGCGGGCGGAACTCACTTTGACGTCTGCTCGCTTTGCGTCGTTCAGCTCGCGATCGCGCGCACCGTCGAAAACGTTCCCTCATACTCGAGCGGCGCGCCCCGTACGCCACGGCGGACCAACGCTCGCGGGCGGCAGGAGGTGCCGTGCGCGCGGTCGTGGCCCGCGTCCCCGATCCCTCTGCTGACCGACGCCCGTGCTCCCCCTCTCCTCCTCCTCCTCCTCCTCCGCTGTGCGTCTCCCCGCCAGGATAAAGCAGTTCGAGGACATGATCTCTCCGTTCCGACTCAACGACGGCTTCAAGGAGGAGGCGGAGGTGGAGGAGTTGCGCCGTGACTGCCCCTGGAAGGTGTCCGACCACGAGCTGCTCTCGCTGCGGGACAAGGTGCTCGCGCTTTGTTCACCCTCGCGCGCCGGAGGACGACACGGCCCAGCTCCTCGTCACAAAAACAAAGAGTGGCGCTGCGCCCACAGCGGCGATTTCCAGGACGGCAGAAGGCACAGCCGCGAGCGTTGGCTCGGTCGCGGAGGTGGCAACCGGCTCGTAACCTGGGCCGTACGCCGCCTGTGGACGTGCAGCATGCTGGACACGTGACATATCCCGGGTCTCCGAACCGGGCAGACGCGGCTGACACGAAGCCCTGGCCGTACCGCGTTGGCTTTTTTTGGGCTTCGCATTCCTTGACCCCCCCTTGCGTGGCCTCTTGCACGGCGGCTTGTGACCGCGAGGTGACGCTGCGGCACAGCGAAGAGATATATATACACAGATCAGCTTTGAGATGATCGCAGCCTCTTCACGTTCCATGCTTTCGTCTCTCTCTTTCAGACGAACCGGCAGCTGAAGCTGAACGAGCTCATGATTCAGAACTCCAACGACGCAGCCCTCATCGTTGTGTGAGTAACGCGGGGGGTCCATGCGTCAGCACAAGGGCTTGGCTGCTACGTTAGAGAGCCCGCGGACGCCACCACCGCCTGCTATTGTGGAACGGAACGCGTAGTTGGCAGTGGACTGACCGCCGCCGAGGTTAGTTTCAAAGCAGGCGTGGGGAACCGACGTCCCGTGGCTTCAGTTCACGCGGCTTATGGCCACATGAGGCCTTGCACTTCAAATCGGCCCACCGTCGGAATTTGTTCATCGCTGCCGGCATCTTAGCTGCACTGGCCGGGTACTAGACGGGCCTATTTTTCGATCTGCCAAAAACCCTTTTAATTTTAGCTTGCTCAGTAGAGGTGAGAGTTAATTATTTTGGCGTTCCTCATTGGTGTGTGTTAATGTGTCGCCCGCCAAGTGTGGGCGACACATTCGCATTCTGCCCTCGGTAAGAAAAACGTTCTCAATCCCCTCTTTTAGAAAATAAAAGAGTAGCGTGCGTTCAGTCCACTGCAATCGATCACTTATCTGGGTTGTCAACTAACCTGCTGTTGCCACTCTAGCAGAGGCGGGGCATGGTTGGCAAGGGTCCTGGTGCACGATTTGGAATGGGGCCCTCCTTGTCCAATTCTCGCTTCTTTGAAACTCAGCACCTGGGCTCCTCTACCCCGTGGGCCCTGGAGCAGTGGCACCACCTGCACAATCGATAGCCTCACCACTAGCACCCTAGCGCTCTTTGCCAATCGTCAGTGTGCACGATTGGTGACACAGGGCCCCTTTTTTGTGTCGTCGATTTGCGCCGTGCAGGAGCCTGCCCATGATCAAGAAGGGACGGTGCCCGTCGGCGTTGGGCATGGCCTGGCTGGAGGTGCTCAGCCGGGACCTGCCCCCAGTGCTCATCATGAGGGGCAACCACGTGAACGTGCTCACCATCTACAGCCAGTGACGCACGCTTGCGGAAAACCACGCTCGCGGCCCGCTCGCACGCACGCACGCCAGCACACGGTCATCGTAAGCACACTCACACCCGATCGCTCGCTCACACTCTACTTAAACAATGAACTAAACAATTTTTTTATTTTACCAGGTAAGGCCCACTGAGCGATGTAGTTCTTTTTCAGAAGCGATCTGGCCACAAATGATAGCCCAATGAAGTGGCTTATCACGTGTAAATGTATAGCAGCTAAATACTCTTAACGCATGTTTCTAAATGTGGAGGGAAAAACTGGAGGACCCGGAGAAAAATTCATGCGACCACGGGGAGAATGCAAACTCCAAATATACAGGCATTCAGGGTCAGGATTGAACCGACGACCTCCTGTATACCAAGCGAGGTCGTTAACATCTCGCCACCGCAGCACCCCACTTACACACATACGCACCAGCCCAGTCACCCAAGCCGTCATTCCTCCAGTCTCAATTCTCACGTGCACCCGGACTCACTCGCACGATTGGCCACTTCCACCGCAAACCTCCGTTCAAGATCAATCGTCACTCAACCACGCGCACACACACACGCACGCCAACGGACTGGGGAATGTGCATTTAAATTTCCTCTTAAGTTCTAATTGCAATCGCTAGTTGTATTTGTATTAACTTAACAATAGTGTACGTGCACAACTGTAGAATACAATGTTCTGTATTTTATTTTAACCAAAAATGGAAGGGCGTTTCATGAACATTGACTAATGTGATTGACTAATACCGGCCGCGCGGCTCAGTGGAAGAGCGAGTGGCTCACAATCAGAAAGGTTGAGAGTTCAAATCCCGGTTGGGGGGGTGGGGGTTGACTCAGCCTATCATCCCACTGGGGTCGATTAAATGAAAACCACTTTGCAGTGAAGTCAACAGTGATTGTCCTATTGAGGTACTTGCTCCCCCCACCCTGCTGTAGGAATGTGGAATTTCCACCACTGTGACTCAGGGCTGTAAACAGGTGATGGGCACCAATGCTGCAATGCCCCCTACTTGCATAGGAACTCACTTTGACTCCTTATTGACTAAAGGGTAGTTGTGTGCAATGGAATTATATTTTCCTTCAACAATGAATATACTTTTTTAATTCACCGATTGAAAACACGTATTCAATATTAAACAATTATATTGTATTTGCTCTATTTTTTTGTGAATCAGATAAGTGCTATATGTATAAAAATAAGGGTTGTTTTTTTTGTAGCTACGAAAGACGTAATGGATAACTTTAGATTACATTTGAGCTATATTGCAGGTCTTTCCATAAGGGTCATATATGCTGTGTATAATATCCGTGTCTTCGTGTAACGTTAACTCTGCTGCTACACTTGAGCCTGGCGCGTGGAGACTGTAGACCAGCTTCCTTTCTGCGATGGTTCACTCTTGTAGGCTAATAAATTAAAATGCGAGTCATTTTATGCTCTCCGTGTCATTTTATGCTCTCCGTGTCAATATTCAACTTGTTTTGCACCTTCCTCCGAACATCACCTGAATATGCATTCTGCGGTCCGGATAGGTTGGGGTGGTGGCCCTGGAAATGTTCAACAAGATTTTAACCCCCAGGCAGCGCCACGATGTTCCACCATTGCTTCTCCAAGATTACTTCACGGTCTCTCCTACACGGCACTTTATTCTCGGTGATAAATGGCCCAATCAAGTTGGCCGTTTTGTCCACGAGTAATTGGCGTCCAAGCATCAGTCCCTCCACACAAACGCATACTTTCCCTTTGCGAGTGCATCTCAACAGCGCACATTTTAATCCAGCCATCGCCACACATGCATGTTTGTATATATGTAGAATTTCTTTCCCACCGTACTTAGCCTCCCGCAATAATGGGAGTTGCGATATATAGCCAAATCCCCCCCCATTATCTCATGCTACCACGAGATTATCTCACCGCGTGGACTACACCTGTCCCTCGCACGCCCCGCACACGTCCCCCCCGTGTCCCTCACAAGGCCTTCACGAGGCCCTTCCGAGGTCCTCACGAGGCCCCCCGCTCGTATTCTTTATGTCGCTGCTGCTGCCGGTTCACGAGCTTCCTCCGCCACGAGGCCACCTCGAGCAAACGCCATTTACCGGGAATTTATGTTACGAAAAAATGTAGCACGTCATTAAAAGAATATATCAAGCACAATTTTTAATACGTCTTTACAAAGCTCACATTAATCACAATGAATGTGATAAAAAAAAAAACATCTACTGGAAAAAACAAATGCTGTTTTACTCAACATCTGCAACTTCTCAGCAGTGGGTTATGGTCATTATTCCATTATAAATCATCTCACATAGTGGGGGTTAGATTCACCCCCATTAGCCAACCAGACCTTAAACTACCTCTACAACACTTGATAATGAACGCCAACTCCATGCTCCATCTATAGCACTTACACCAGGCCTCGGATTTTTTTTTTATGATTTCCCACCGTTGGAGTCCATGGTGCATGCCTGTAACGTAGTGGGGCGAGGCGAGGTTGGTGACTCACAAGGATCGAGTCACCAGGTTCCAGTTCCTGATCCCTAGATGAGCAGAGCAGCAGCGAGCAGGAGGCGGTGAGCAGTTTCCGTGCACCCCAGATAAACAGTTCGGAAGTCGCAAAATTAAAACCATGTTCCCAAATTAATAAGTGCTTAGAATTAAATGTATCGTATTCTCGAGACTACAAGATGTGCTTGGTCCGACCTAAAGGGCAGAGCGGTGTATACGTAATGGAAAGGCTGCTAAACATTTAAACGTATACACGACATCAATAAATAGCGTGCACATGGACAGACTTAGAGGAGATATTTTTTTTTAAATCTCCCAAAGCACTTCCTTAATGATGAACAAGCATTGAGACACCCATTAAGACGTTTATGGTGTCCAGATCACAACCAGAGACTACATCTATAGACACCTTGACCTGTAAAAATGTTTTTGTGCTATTTTTTTAGTGCGGAAATAGGCAACGCAGTGGAACGCTTTCCTCTTTCAACGTTGCTAATGATCAGATTGCTGACCTAATTCGGATGGGTAGATTTGGGTTTCATAAATGTGAATAAGTAGTCCCACACGTGAAATGCATACTGATCTAAAAGTAAAAATAAATTGCTATGGCAACACAATTATAACCACTATTCCTCCTACTTTCACAAGTCCACCAGACATGTCCACAAGGTACACGTTCTACACTTTCAGGAAATGTACAGGGTAATTTGCAAAATGATTTTTTTTTAAACCAAATATCTCAACGCATGACCCTGCTGAGAAATGCCGCCATTCCCAAGGCCACGGGCAAACAAAAGCTCGCAGGCCCGGAAACTGTCCTGGGCCATCCCGGCGCAGCTTGGAATGCATCCCAACGATTCGAGGCGTCTCGGGTTCCCGTGCGCTCAGCCCCTTCCACACCCTTCCTCCACCAGCCAGAGGGAAGTCAATTTAATGTTTTTTTAACAATATGAAAAGGTTTGGGTTTGGGTTAGGTCACCCCAAGCTATGCGGTACGAAAGAAGTTAAATCTATTTACATATACATACATTATATATTAATTTTCCACCAGTTTTTTTATTAAACAAAGAGCATGGACCTAAATTTGACCGAGGTGAAAGAGACCAATGACTGCGCTCTCTCTCGTGTTGACCTCACGACTGTTTGTGAGCACGGCCAGTGTAAACCAACAGGCTACCTTGTAAAAGCATGCACAAGCCGGTACAACATCCAAGCCAGGTTGGCCCAGCAAGAAGGGAATGCAGGCTGAGCCCAGTCGCCCGGCTTAAGAATCAAACCAAGAGCAGACCTGGCTTGGTACTCCGAAGTAGGCAATTGGACAGTCAATAAAGCGCTCCTGGGTAACTAAAGGCCGTAATACAATATTAATGTAAACTTGAAAGGGTGCAAGGCTAGGGTATGAAGTCACACGACCGGCTGCGGAGGTCACGTGACCTCGCTCGTCACGTGACGGCGTGATCGGTGTGGAGGTGGTCACGCGCCGAGCGTGTTCTTGGAGTTGGGCCGCAGGATGAGAGGTCGTGCCTCTTCGAACACGGTGTACATGCGCTCCAAGCTCTCCTCTGCTGGGATCACCTGGAGGTCACCGTCAAGATACACATTTACATTGCATTACATTTACCTTTAAACAAATGCCCTTTCCCCCTAAAATATATCCCGATTGTACGATCAGTGTAATGTCATGGAGAAGACATTTCCATTTGGAATAATCACAGCTAGCAGTATAACACTATGTTTAACAAAAAATTGTCCTGGATTATGATATCACAGAACTACTTTTTTAAGTTACTTTAGTAGGACTCTTAATTCAAAACTAGGTGTGCAGCTTTTTTTCTTTACATATATAACATTTAAAAAATGTTTGTTGAATGGCAATGAAATAAAAAAATGTTAATTATCAGAGCTGGAAAAGGTCAAACAAAATTAAAAAAACTATTGGTGTTTTTTTTTGGTCAGGCATTGGTGACCACAAGCTGCAAGCTCGTTGGCCAGATTGGAACACAGGCCCTCAGCAATGCCGTTCCAGAGTGCTTCCACGTGGTGCCAGGCGCGGCCAGAACCATTCAACCCCCCCCCTGGAAATTCGATGCATCGCCTCGGTAAAAGTGTGGCGATTCGATCCTCAAACCAAAACATTTTTCCCTCCCGTGTGATCGTGCCGGCCGTTCATTACTTTACTCACCAGCACAGGAGCCGGCAGTCGGAAGATACTCTTGTCCACAAGCCAACTCTCATAGAGCGAGTGCAGACTCTGCAAGTATTCCTGCACACGGGCACCATTTTACTGATCAGGTCTTGCAAGCTTTGGCTTCATTGAGATGTCCTGTATAACTGAAATAAAGAACGAGAACTATAATTTTATATAGCGTCTAAATGCAATTACATCCGAAGGCTATTATCATCAGCAGCCATGATCAATCCACTGCTGGGTGGAGGCATCCACAAGCCACCATAACCTCCCCCGATCCTGCGATGTAATAATTTATACAGTAGCAGCATATGTACCGATTCCATAATTCCATGTCCTCCTCGATAGACATCCCCTCGGACGTGTTCCACTCCTTGGCTGCCACTCTGTTGCCACCACATCTCGATTTGCTTTACAAAAATTCAAACTGCGGTCGGTCTTTTACATAAATCACAAAACATGGTTACGGATGGTTCAAGTCCTGTTCTCTAAACGACTCGAAGTTCTAATGTCCCTTCCGAATCATTCACTTTAGAAAGTATATTGTTCTCTTCTTGAGAACAAGGCATCCATGGCGCAAGGACCGAGTGCGTGGACACAGCGGGGAGTGGGTAATGCAGAGCGTCATGGCGAGAGACCGAGAGCGGAGGCACGTGTCGGCTGTGGGGAGCCCCTACCAGCGGAACGACGTGTTCTTCTTCGCGGCTGCGCGACTTCAGACGCTCATGGCAAGTCTGCGGGGACGCCTGAAGGTACACTGCGTTGTGAAACACAGAAACGTAGGAGAGCAGCGGGACAGAACACGGAGAAATGGTAATACATTGGTGGCGACATGAGCGCAGTGACGAGGCGTAGCGCGAGCGCGTTTGCCGCTTGTGGCAGAGATTCGCGGTTCGATTCCAGCAGTGGGTGTGATAAAATAATAATGCCACACGCCACACGCTTCGAGGTGGACCTTAAAGAGCCCGTCAATTCATTCACAAGAGTAGGCCAATGTGTGCGGGCATTTCAGGGTCCAAATTGTCCACAAACACATCAAATTGAGACCATACCGAGCGATCATCGCCTCCCTACTGGCAGACTAACGCCCCAGGTCAACCTTGCAAATGAGACTCATCCTGGCCTCCTGAGGTCTTACATGGTTACGCAAAATATACTTGACACAAAGCAACAAAACTGGTAGCTTACAAGTGTGGGCCGTGAGTAGGCACCGTTTGTTTCTCACGGCCCTTGCGTTTATCGTCGCGAGGTGGCGTGCGCTCGTACCAATGAGGTCGACGGGTATGGGGATGGTCTTGGTGAGCCAGTCGAACCACTCGCCCAGCACGGCGTACTCCACCTCTGGCATTAGGCCACTGCTCCACAAGGTAACACAAGGCGAGGGTGGGAGGTGGGGGGGCGGATTAATCAACACTCCCCTATTAGAAGCACATAACGATTCAATAAAATGTGTCAATTGCAAGGGAATCTTACGTCTCATAGTACAGTATCGAACCGTGTACTTAACAACAGATCGGCGGCAGAGAGAGGTAACGAGTTCGCTGGATTCGAAAGGGACGTCCCCATATCTCTATTCTACGCCTACTTTTTCATTCTCATTATTTCATAAGGCGAGGTGAATTTTGATTGAAAGCTTTCGTGACTGCAGTAATTCATATTCTTAGCTCTTTCGGTAAAGTCACGTTATTGTTTTATATATATTTTGTTATTTTGTTGTTTCCCTTCAACGTGACTTTACCGAAAGAGCTAAGAATATGCGAGGTGAATTAGCAATGTTATCTTTGCGGATATTGAGGTTATTAAGCCATTCTCAGAAGTCTCTGCGGAGGCTTGGTGGATGTCAGTGATGTTGCCTGCGAATAAGCAGCACGGGCAGTGTTTGATCATGTGATCCATGATCTGGCAACTCTTCCATTAATACTGGGATGCAGGTGGTTTACCTTCGGAAGAGGTTTTCCACAAAGATGTATCTTGCGCTGAAGATAGACCTCTCCATCATCCTGACTGGGGCGGTCTGCATGGGATGAGCAAGAGGTGCAGTTCACCACACTGGAATACATCTGCTTAAAATCCTCTAGAATTAGTCTTCTGCAGGTTTATTATTTGGTGAACTTATACAATGCCATAATTAACACTGCCTAATGACCATGTTGGAGGTGACGTAGAATTTGTTTATGTATCAATCGTGATTTGAAGCTTTCGTGACTACAGGAATCCATACTCTTTGGTTATTTTGGTAAAGTCACGTTGTTTATGTATGTTGAACTTCTTCCGCACCGTACGAAGCCAACCGTGCTAGTTAATAAGAGGTGCTATTTCGAGCCCTTTAACTTATACAATGTATACAGTGAGAGTAGAGCTTGGAGTCGGTTGTAGCTAAGCACGAGTTGCAGGATTTTGTCAAAGTGACGATGCGGTGGGCATCAGTGGCACTGGTTATGATGGCCTCTTGACCTTGGCCACTTCTGGATGATGACCTTCTCAAGCTGTGAATATCGTGGACGCTGTTTGACCATAACTTCACCAAAATGATCAGTGAGCACAGACATGGAGGCAAAGGTGTGCAATACATAAACGTATATTCGCTGAACTGCTCTATGCTACCCACAACATTAGCACAACCCCACAGAAACCTATGCCAACCTGGCGTGCGTGCTGGTCGAGCATCCAATACTGCGGCTATAACCCAGGTCTGGGTGTTCGCTTACCGATGGGCTGGTGTGATTCATGATCATGGTGAGCTGCACATATGTCTGCAACGTCAGGCTCCAGCGCTTCGGGTCACTGTATAACAATGCCTGCCACACACACACACACAAAACAAAGATCCGCCATATATTCTTAATGAGCAGTTGGGGCAAGTGCAACTATGTAAGCCGGCACGGCACACGATGGGGTGGGCGAAAAGGACCACGCCCAGCCGCCTTTGTCACCCTAGTGGCGATGTTTATACATCACACATGGTACTGATTTTAGGCCGAGTCAATCTAAGGGAGGCCCGTGACTATTTCAAGTAAATCGTCGCTGATGTTGGCCGTGAGCGGGAATCAAACTCAGTTTATTTTAATAACATCATTAGAAAGAGCCGGTGTGACAAAGCAAAGAAGGTTGCATGAGTATACTCTGCATTGACATGCAACAGTCTGGTCTTCAATTATATGTTGCACTAGCTTAACTACCCGGCTTCGCCCGGGACTTGGATTCACCACGCCCGGCCGCCTTTGTCTCCCCAATGGCGATGTTCACACACCACACCAGTTACTCGTTTGAGGCTGAGTCGACCTAGAGGAGGCCCAGGAGCGGTTTAAATAATCGTCACCGGTGGTGGCCGTGAGCGGGAATCCAACTCAGGTGGCCGGGTTTGTAGCGCAGCGCGCTAACCACTACACTACAATGCGTTACGCTTCCGCATGCGAGGGTCACGTGACAGATTTGACGTCACAGCTCACTTGCCGTGCAAAAAATCTATGCAGTATTGAGCTCCCCCCCCCCCCCCCCCAAAAAAAAAGTGTATTTTTATAATTTGTGCATGGTGTACAGTCTGGAAAGTACCCACACGGCAAATTTCAAGTTTGTTGCATGTCGGGAAGTATGCTAAACATTTTTAACAGACACACACATATTCTTGGTTCTTTCGGTAAATTCACGTAGAAGGGAAACAATAAAATAATAAAAATATAAAACACACACATTCACAACTTTGCCTTTTATATATATGGAGATGACTAAACTGACGAGTAGGGACATGGAGCAAGGATGATTCAATCAGTCTAGGCCTTAACATCAATGTTCATTTTGAACAGTCATGGGAAGTAGTAATAATACAAAAAACAGGTCCAGTCAAATATTACCAATATACATTACCTACAAATGTAAATTAATACATGGTCTGCATACAAGCTTCCCAAATACTTACATTGGTGTCTGAAGACAGAACATCTAAAAATACGTGAACACTATGTTTAAAATAAGTCGTGAAATTTTTGTACGCAGAAAATAATTGAGTCTTTCAGTAAGACGTTTGGAAAAACAAAAATTGCATTTGGAAGAACCCAGCGAAAGTCCACACGTGCGTGGTGACAACACCAAGATCTGCACAGATGGGTTCTCAGACTGATTTAATTTATCCTCATCTCCTGGCCACCTCGCAGTCCAATTGTTTCGGAATGTTCAGAAATAAATGTATTCCTTTGTGTTTCATTCACAGTGCAATTCCTGACAATATATGATCCCTGCGTGACGATCCTAATTTGCCAAATTTCAAAATTTACTTAAAAATGTACAATTTTAATAACCAGTGGCGACATTCCCCCCCCCCACCCCCTACTGATGGTCTAATTTCAACTTGCAGATCGGTGCTTCGTCGCTTTGTGTCCCTCAGGGACAACTCTCAATCGGGGTTCCGCCCCCTAGGCTAAAGAAAACTACAGCTGCCACTTGGAATTATTGACAGGAGTTTTGATGCAAGGTGCTTTGAGTTGCAGAATATAATGTAAGTCCCCTATAAATGTAAATCATCGATATATTTCCACATAAATCCCTCGTGTTTTCCTCGCAGTGCTGTTTCTCAGATAACAAGATTCACGCACAAGAAATCAACTTCCAACTCGGAGGGTTCCGGGCTTCCTTACCAGTAGATTATGGCCCCAAATGTTTCTCCACTTGGTAACAGGCTCGGCAACCACCTGAAATGTGACAAATTGCAACACGGTAGCAAGACACTCATCATACGTCAGTAACGAAATTCACAAAAGGCTCTCAATTAACTTAAGGCACCGCTACAAGTAATCACACACCGCAGCATTCAGTTTGTTGTTCAGATCAAAGTCTCAAATGTAATGAGCTGCATTTTTTAAAAAAATCACACGAAGGCTTTCGGAACCGCTGTGCTGACGTGCGGTACGAACCTCAATACCCGGTGAACCCTGGAAGTATTCCAGGCATTTTGTTTTTCCACACCCAATGTTGCCTTCGACTGATACCTGCAAAATTACAGAGCACACAGCAAAGCCTATTCGTGAAAAAAAACACAAGGAGGTGATTTATGTGACTCGAATGAGTAACCCAGACAGAAGTTATTTATATATTGCTATAAAAACGCTAACCGGCACTGTCTCTCAGAATCATTCCAAACGTGCACCTCACTCACCATGTTTCTTTGCCCACTTAACAGCTCGTTCCATTTCCATTGTCAATGTCTAAGTTCCTGACGCCCATGCACTGCACGGATTGAAGATGCTCTTCTTTTAGGCGCATTGGTAATGCATACCCTGTCAAGCCCTTAATTATCAGTGCACTACCTTATTACAGACAAATTCAGACCTTACTGGTCACCCCATGCCCCTTATACATCTCAAAGTTCATCCTACAAAGTCCCATCACAGGGGAGAAACACAAAAACTACTTTTTTTGCCCGTATTGAAACGTCTGGACCTGAAACTCAATTTCCCTATACAGTACAAGGATACGGGGTAAACCGTATGGGTTGACAGATATGGTCATGCATTCTTTGGTATTCCTGAGGCACCACATTAACATCGGTAACAACGTACATATTGCAAGGGTACTTCAGACGAAATTCTCTCACCAAAGCTCTCAAGTTCAACACGTTTCATGTCCAATAGGCGAGGTTATCAAGTGTAAAACTAACGTCTTATAGTCATTAGACCACACACATTATAAAGAAAACTCACCACAAGATTTTGGCTCCTGAAACGTCCTGTGCTGAATCCTGAGGCAGATACAAACACGGAGGGGGGTGGTTAGAAAGAATCGCGCCTTAACACATTCCTGCGGAGGGAGGAGCTGGTAGGAACGTTGGGTTGCTCGGTCAATGGCCAGGGTCAACGGCGGCACCACGTGGTGTATTCCACAAATATGCCCGACTGTGAGGGCGGGCACAAACCGGCGTTGAGGAGAAGGGAAACAATAGAATAATATGTGACTTTACCGAAAGAACCAAGAATATGAATCCCTGCGGTCACGAAAGCTTTAAATCAAAATTCGGCGTGAGTAGGTTAAACGTTGAGTTTTATAAGGGCACCACGGGGTGACCAGCCCCTCCCACCCCACCCAGCCCCACCCCTCCCATTTGTGGATGCACGACGGACGGACGGCCACAATAATCCCCTGTGGACTGGCGGTGTAACCGGGAGGTTCCTACCAGTATCAAATCACGTCTTGACATCATGAAGGGATGGAGAGCGATTCCCACACATTTAACAATCGGGTAGTAGTCCGACGTTTCGCTGGTAGCTTACAACCAGCATCATCAGGCAGTTTGTCAGAACTGCGGTAACTGCCCGATCATCAACTCTCCAACATCACCAGTAAGTGTGGAAGCAGTGCGGAATCGAGCACGTTTGTGATCAATCGGACACGTTCGTGATCGATCGGAAGCAGTGATCAATCAAGCACGGTCTCTTCAAGCGACAACTGTACTGTATTATAATTGGCTGTGTCGGGTGGAGGAGGGTTTACGACACACGCTTTACTCAAGAGACCTCTTCCCAAAAAGCGAATATTAATCACATACTGCAGGTCGCGAAAACCCAGAGGCTTTTGATTTATAACAAATAATTTTAACCGCTCGAAAACTTAAGTTATCAGACAGCACCCTCCTGTACACGATACCTCGAAATGAAATTCCCGTAATCCCACTCAACAACTCTTGCCGATACCCCTCGATCGATTCCGTGGGGTAATTCCCAATTATCCGAGCATCTCGGTTATTCCGTGGACAGTCATCAAACCCACCGCTCGCCAAAACGTTTTAACAAAATGTTGCCCAGGAATTGGCGGAACATTCAACCCCACTTTGCATCCACAAATAAGTCACCCACATTCATCATGTTACCGAGAGACTATAAACCTCACCACCATCACCAACCACCACCACCACCAACAATCTCTCACCAACAAAAACAACACGACCATCGTGGTGAAGTATGGCTACAACAACAATAACAACAACAACCCCCTCGCGGCCAGCGCGCGCAATGGCGGTACGAAGCAAGTTACAAGTCCACTTGCTTCCGCCTCCCCCCCCCCCAATTATCATGCTCGTTATCATAACAACAATCATCATCATCAGCAGCAGTGATCGATCCACTGCTAGCTGAAGGCCCTCGAGCCGCCGCCGACGACGATGAGAGAGAGAATCCCGGATTGGCAACTCGCCTCCTCTACGGAGGGCTTCAGCGAACAGCGGCGCCGCTCTGCAGGAAGCCGCGATCAGCAGGGCGCGCATTGTGGAACCCGTCCCGACGTTTAAACAGCTTGAAGAGCAGCAGCAACAACAACATCAACAACAACAACAACGCCGAGGTTTAACTTAGGGGGAAGCGAGGCTGACACCACCCGCCCCCCAACACACGCACAGCACAGACGCGTCTCTGGTTTTCGTTGACATGCCACGGGGTTCTTAGGCTTCGGTCACGTTCAATGCCCCCTTGCCATGTCAGAGGGTTTATCTCTCTGTGTGTGTGTGTGGGGGTTTTTGTGTGGGTGTGTGTACCTCTTGGGTCAGTAATGTTAGAATATTTATTGAGACTTCATAGCTATCAAAGCAAACACGGGTTTGTACCCCGTATTTTTGTGCGGGGAAATCGAGTTTGCAGGTCCATGCGGCGTACAGCCGTTTCAATACGGGCAAAATAAAATGTTTATTTGTTTGTGTTTCTCGCTTGTGATGACGGGACTTTGTCGGATGAACGTTGAGATTTATAAGGGCACTGGGGTGACCAATAAGGTCTGAATTGGTCTGTCATAAGATAGGGAGGGCACTGATAAGGGGTTGACAGGTACGAGACTGGAGGAATCCTATGAGCTTAGAAGCTCTTTTTTACTGATGTCCAGTATGGGCAGGTCACATGAGGCCAAACCATTAATTACAAAAAAAATAGGCAACGTTTTGGGCAATAGTCCATCTTCACAGCACATGGAGAGGCCAGGGGAGGGGGTAATGTGCAACACTGTCGACACAGAAGCAGCATCACCAATTTACTATCCTCCATTCTGCTTTATAAAAACAAAGAAACTACCGTATTCACATTATTTCTGGTTCTTTCGCTAAAGTCACTGTGACTTTAGCGAAAGAACCAAAGAGTATGGATTCCTGCAGTCACGAAAGCTTCAAATCACGTAATTCACATTGTTAAATAAATGAAAATAAATAAGCAGACAATTGATCTCTTTCCCATTTCTGTCCCTCCACGTAAAAAAGGGAAAGTTTGCTGTTACAATCCAATCTCTACACCGGTTTCAGTTGCCACCTGTCTCGGGCTGGGTCTATCAATTGTGCAGTAAACTCAAATCAGTTCATGGCAATACCACCGCATCTCAATTCCTGCCACCCAAACACAGACGCCAACACGTGGACTGATAACCCTGAGCCTAGTTTCGACATTCAGTGTCTCATCCGTAATCAGGCTGGCTTGCTTGAACCAATGCTGAACTGAAAGATGTCGACACTACAGGATAGGCAATTGGGACTCACTCGACGAGGCACCGAATGTCAAAACCGGTCCAGTTTTGTGTTGAACCCAATGCTGCCGAAAGGCCGTAAAAAAACGTGTGCTGTGGAAAAAATGTTTTTAAATGTGTGCTGTGTGCAGAAATGTAAACTATAATTACGTCTAAAACTGCCAACTGTGTGTTCCTCCTGTTAAGTAAAAAAAACACAACAGTATATCACCACACTGCAATGCTATCGTGTTGTTGAAGGGGGAGCAGGGGGCCAGGTCAGATAGGAATCACCAGTTACCACTCGTGTTTAGTTGTGGCTGGGAATCGAACTAAGATTGTGGAGCTCATTGAGCAGTGTAGCAATCACTCTGCCACTACTTAATGGTACAGTACTGTAGATCAGAAGGCAGCATAAGACAAATGCTAATATGTTACGTTTATTTCATTAAAACAACCATGTAATGAAACACATTATCTACACATTTATTTTAATGTGATGACATCATACATAGAAATTCAGCCAGTGGCACATCCAAGAGTAAGCATGAGCTCTTTCCTTTCACTGTAGGATACATTTTAGCTTTGTTTTTTTTGTCCGGCAGGCAATTGTGCTGTGAAAGGAAAGTTAAGACTGAAAGGCATTATAAGTCGTTGACCAACTCCGACTCGACGTGGGTTGTGACACCAGTCAAACTAAAGGAATCCATTTCGCCCATTGGGCACAGCTTGTAAGCTGAAGATTTATTTACAATCGTGCTGACATTTACCACGTTCAGCCTCTGCATCTTTGTCCTGCAACACCTTATGCATCAGACTTTTATAAGCAACGGGGCTTGTGAGCAACAGGGTCACAGAAAACTAACCTACACCTTAGGGAAAGGGACAAGCGAGGTTTAATTTTGCACGATCTTGATTTAAAAAAAATGTAAATCCCAAAAGTGAAACTTGAAATTGTCATCTACAATAAGTGTGAATCTCAAGAAAACCTGGAAGGTATTACACGAGTTTGAATTCAACATCTCAAAATATAATTTAAAACTGTTGCTCACATAAAACACAGCTGACTTTGACAACCCTAAACATAAAAAATATATACACAGTACAAATAGAATATAAAGTTCCTGCTTCAGAGAACGATAAAAAGTGATGTCATATACAAATGTCAATCACATGTGGGTTTGTATAACAGAGCAAAACAGTGCAATATTCTTGCATAACTATTCGTACAGCTTGGAATAAATTATTTGGATGCGATTGTGCGTTACATCATCAACATTGTCGAAGCAAGCAACCACTCAAGGCAATTAGTTGCCTCGCAGTTGACAGTTACCAAAATAAGATGTCTAATATTATTAATACGGTTGTACTTACACACGTACAATTCCAGGATATGTATATTTTCATACTTTAACACTATTCACACGAGTTCATGCCCACGATAGCTCAAAATGTTTGCACGTGACAAATGTACGCAAACTGGACCAGGTCTCGGCTTAATACGGCACTTGTTAAGGGTACGTGCGTAAACACATCTCCTGTGAATGCAGAGATCGTTTTGACACCATTGCAGATGTGAGAGACGAAGGCCACTTTTGTGAAGAGAGCATTTAGACGTCGTTCATTTTGCACGCTGGATTTTCTTGATATACGTCACCATGAAAAACCAAAATAGCTAATTATTTTCACGACTTGCTGTAGTGTGATCATTGCTGTAGTACATGAGTTATCTAGGAGTAACCACCCGTGTTTCTGTTACTGCCTTGTAAGTATTAAACAAGATACTCGCTTTCATAATTGGTCACTGTACATACAGACTTGTGTTTTCTCTCTCTCTCTCTGTGTCCTCGTGTTGTTGCTCGATCATTTCCTGCAGTCACGAAAGCTCCAAATCTCTCATTGACATGCTAATTTCTTTACCCCCCCCCCTCTCTCTCTGCCCCCCTCTATCTGTATTTAAGGCCTCGACACAGAGGCGTTGTTTCTCTGTGTGCCTATGTGTGTGTCTCTCTTTGTGTGCCTATGTGTGTGTCTCTCACTGCGTGTCTCTGTGTTATCTCTCTCTGTGTGTCTCTGTGTTATCGCTCTGTGTGCCTATGTGTTATCTCTCTGCTTATGTGTCTGTCTATGTGTCTCCGTGTCTGTTTTTTGTCTCTCTCTCAAAATTAGCAATCTTTGGAAGAACGTAATCAACCAGGTAGGGTGTTGACTGTTGTGTTGTTAGCCGACTCTCTGTGTTGTATTGCATTATATTTCTAAGTTTACTAGGCTTGTTTTCTCTTTCATTTGTACCTGATGATGATTGCTTGTGTTGCAATCGAAATGTCGTATGCTATTATTTTTTTCTACGTGACTTTACCGAAAGAACCAAAGATTGGTCACTGTACACTTAATGCTACTGGCACACTGATGTTTTGAGCGAGTATACGTGTCAACCATCGCCCCCTATTGGCACACTCATGCTCCAAATCACTCTGACATTAAGTCAAAGTGTGCGACTGCTTTCCCCGAACTTTTTACAACTTTTAATGTTACATTATTGTCTCATTTCATGGGTCTCTCGATTGGAGTAAGGTATAAACCTACACATAAAACAAACACTACGCTGCTTCATTTAACTGAAAAAAATCACGAGACCCTATATAATTTGCCTAAATCTGACAATAAACGTAGACATGTCAAAATGGACTATTAATCAATCATAACGAGAGTGAAATATGTAAGAATAGTCAAGAGGTCGTTGCAGCCACTGCTGCGGATGGAAATACAATTGGCAATAATTTTCTTGCGAGATCCCCAAGATGTAGCATAGTTGTCGGTCGACCTCCAGGGTCAGCCGTTATAGTACTGCACCATCTCGATTTAGGTCTTCCATTTAGTCATCAACCTATAGAAAACGTGGCATCCCAATGTTGATCATTTTCAAGACATTGCCTGAATATTGCCCAGCTGCATAACAGCTGTGATAATCCAAGCACAAATAGCCAGGACACCTCACTATGAACGGCCCACTTACGATCACAGTTAATATTTGGCTAAATTAAGCCTTAGAATAAGGCTTTTAATTTCAGGATTATATGGGCTTCCTCTAACCACCCATCCAAATGTCCCTGCCTCTAACCACCCATCCACAAATGTCCCTGCCAATCAAACACCCATAAAGCCACTTGTAATTTTAAATTGTGGTATGGTGAAGGACCTTTAGAGGGGGGTACAACACCATAAATGTTCTGTAAATATTTCACATGATCTTGGGACCTTTCTTGCCAGTGAACATGCAAACAAAAACATTACCAGAGCATATTCTTAGTTCTTTCGGTAAAGTCATGTTGAAGGGAAACAACGTGACTTTACCGAAAGAACTAAGAATATGAATTACTGCAGTCACGAAAGCTTTAAATCAAAAATTACCAGAGCATGTTTTTGTTTGCATGTTCACCACAAGTATGTGTGGTTAATGCAGACATAACTCCTCGCAAAAGGCTTCTGTTTGGTATTTTAACATCTTAACACCTGTTTTATTGGCCAGAAAGGGTAAACCCAATTCTTATATTTCACATATTGGCCGTTTGGTATTTTATAGAGCTGGTGTGTGTCTAAACTGTAGAATACCATCTGTGACCCACAAGCTCCTTCACAAGTCCATGAGTGTTCCATCCACTCATGTTAAGTTGAAGTTCACAATTACGCACAGTTGGAGGGCTGACCTCAGCTTGAGTAGGCCCACTGAAAATGTGTGGCCAGTACATTTGCTGTAGAATCCTTTTGTAAATCTATGGCTCTCTTGCAGGAATTTCTCTTCCAGGAATTCTTGAAACAGGCCATTTTGATTTCACCGTTGAGATAGATTCTGAAAAGAGGCATTAAGAAAATGGCAATGTCTTCTATACGTACAAAGGAAAACTTCGTACAGGCCCTGTGTAAAGACTTGTGGCTTGAAAGAAAGCCTAATAGAAGCATTATTTTAATATACATTCATGGTCTTGTAAG